TCATTAGGTTTGTATATAACATCTTCTGCTTATAGTAGTCTATATTAAGTTGATGGTTGCTTAAGTTTGAACCCATTCTTTACACCTCTCCTCCCCATGTTTTAGGTATATGGTGTCATATTTCACATCCTCTTATTTTGTAAGTTCCTTGACTGATATTTTACAGAAATAATTCATTTTTATTGCTCTTGTGTTTTCTTTCTTCACACTGTCACTTTTGGTCTCTCTTTTCCACTCAAAGAATCCCCTTTAATATTTCCTGCAGGGCTGGTTCAGTGGTCATGAACTCCTTTAGTTTCGTTTGTCTGGGAAAACCTTTTTTTTCCGTCTGGGAAATTCTTTCTCTCTCCTTCTGTTCTGAATGATAGCCTTGTTGGCTAGAGTATTCTTGGCTGCAGATTTTTCCCATTCAGTACTTTGAATATATCATGCCCACTCCCTTCTGGCTTGGAAAGTTTCTGTTGAAAAATCCCCCGCTAGTCTAATGGGGTTTCCCTTGTATATAACTGTCTTATCTTGCTACTTTTAAATTTTTTTCTTTATCACTATATTTTGCCATTTTAATTACAGTGTGTCTTGGTGTGGATTTGCTTTTTTTTATTTTGTTGGGGGTTCTCTGTGCCTCTTGGGTCTGGATATCTGTTTTCTTCCCCAGATTTGGGAAGTTTTCAGTTGTTATCTCTTCAAATAAATTTTCTGCCCCCTTTTCTCTCTCCTCTTCTTCTGGGACTCCTATAATATGAATGGTACTGTGTTTGATGGAGTCACTGAGTTTCCTAAGTCTATTCTCATTTTGTGTTACTCTTTTTTCTCTCTTTTTTTCAGCTAGATTAATTCCCATTACTCTGTCTTGTAGGTTATTAATTCATTCTTCTGCTTCTTCCATTCTACTGTTCATTCCAATAGATGTATTTCTCATTTTGTTCACTGAGCTCTTTATCTCTTCTGTGTATTCCTTATCTCTGTGTTGAGGGTCTCGCTGATGTCTTCCACTCTTTTCTCAAGTCCGGTAAATGTATTTAGGATCATTACTTTAAAATTTTCTATCAGGCATGTTATTTATATCTGTTTTACTTGGATCTCTGTCTGTGACTTTGTCCTTTTATTTCATTTGGGACAAATTCCTCTGCCTTCTCATTTTATCTAAGTCTCTGCCTGCTTCTTTGTGTTAGGAAAGTCAGCTTCATCTCCTGTTCTTGAGGGTAATGGCCTTATGAAGAAGAGGTTTTGTAGTGCCCTCCTGGGTAGTGTCACCTCTTCTCCAGAGCCTGGCGCTTCCAGTAGTATCTCTAATGTGTGCTGTGTGTGCTCTGCTGTTGTGTCCTGGCCACTTTATCCTTCAGGCCCGTTGTCTGCAGAGGCTCTCTTCACCTGTTGTGAAATGAGACCCATCACCACCACCAGTGGACTGAGGCCCTGTAAGACTCTTGGGTTGGGAGAGGTGGTGTGCACAAGGGTTTGGGCAGGTTTTCTGGGGCGGTCGGGGGGGCCATCACCCTTGGACTGACACAAATGTGACTGGGAAGGGTGGTTCTTCTGGAGCACAGGAGGGTGGGGCTTGGTGTCAGCAAGTTAGATAGTGAGTGTGGAGGCTGCGCTTGTTCCCACAGATGGCTGTGTGCTTAGGCTGAGGGGTGGGAGAGGGAAATGGTGCCTACCAGCGCCTTTGTTCCTGGTGGGGTCTCTCTGGGATACACTCTGAGATGAGCAAATAACGTCCCCACTTTGTGCCCCAGGTGCTCTTCAGATCACTCTTTCCACACTGTGTGTCCACAGGTTTGCCCTGCCTCTTCCCCAATGACCCTGGGCTCTCCCTGAGCCAAATCTGCTGATCTTTAGAAATCCAGGCTTTAAGCCCTGCTGATTGCCAGAACTCATGAAATTTCGCCCCTCTTGCTTTCCAAGCCCAGTTGCTATGGGGATTTGTTTTCCCTTTGACTCCCCTGTGTGCTAGTCTGTCTTTTGCCAGTCTCTGCTACTGGGGCTCCCTCCCCACTGCAGCAGCCCATCTTTTTTACTGCCTTTCTGCATTTTTCTACCTTCTTCAGTGTGACTTCTTCTCCCCCTTTAGTTGTAGAGTTTGCTCTGCCAGTCTTCAGGTGGATTTCTGGGGTATTTAGGATGATTTGTTAGTTATCAAGTTGTATTTGGGGATAAGGTGAGCCTAGGGTCCTCCTACTCTACCACCATCATCAAAGACAAACAGTTTTAACTAATGAACTCTTTCCATTTTATCATACAGTGTGGGGAAAGGGATAAGCTTCACAGGCTTCAGTCTTGGGAATAGGATGTCCTTCCCTGTCTTACTTTCTCTTCCATATCTCTCCAGTCTTCCTCCTTAGGGGCCTCCTCAAGACCCTTTTAGTTTTTAGTGTACCCATCCACTGTGCTCGGAAATTAAATCCTTTCAATCAAAAGAAGTCCCAGGCCCTGGATCCTTTCTTGTGTTAAGACTTTTGTGGTATGTTGGTGGAGGCTTTTCTCTCCTTAGTCTTTGCCTGTGTCGAAGATGAAAGGGCAGGCTCTGGTTCTGGCAATGGGCTTATGTTATTAAGAGTTCTGATTTCAGTTCATTCTCTTCACAGAAGAGAGCTTCACTCAATTTCTAGCAAATACCCTAAGAGCAAATACAGATCACCATAGTAAATATTAACTAACTTTCAAAGATAACACAATCTAGCTTCATATGAAGCATGTTTTTCTTAATATCATTTTGACCCCATTCATTATGAAATAATAATACTGGCATTATTGTACTAAGGAGTTTTTGTAAAAATAATTTCATGAATTTTCTTTATTTCTTTTTTCTTTTTTTAAGATTTATTTATTGACTTTAGAGAGAGAGAGCCAGCATGCACATGTGCAGGGTGGGGGCGAGAGGGAGGGAGAGAGAGGGAGAGAGCGAGAGAGAGAGAACCTCAAGCAGACTCCCTGCTGAGTGCAGAGCCTGACACAGGGCTCGATCTCACAACCCTGAGATCATGACCTGAACTGAAATTAAGAGTCAGACTCTTAACTGACTGAGCTACCCAGGTACCCCTTGAATTTTCTTAAATTACAAGGCGCTCTCTCTTTCTCTCTCTCTCTCTCTCTTTCTCTCTCTCTCTCTCTCTCTCTCTCTCACACACACACACCCTCAGTCAAGAATGGATTTTTATGAGCCATTCTAGAAGATAGGCATCTACTCAAAATAAGTTCTTTCTGACATCCAGATCTGTCCCCCTATAGAAGGTGAGAGGAGGTGGAGCGTGCCTTTTTCCATATATTCAACAATTCTTCAACAGTTATTTAGAAGTAGAGGGAGATTGCTCTAACTCTCAGGTCCATACGTTATATACTAGAGATATTTTTTATCTACTGCGTGCCACATATTATGCTAAGTGCTATAGATACAGTGTTGAAGAAGATATAGATGGTTCTTACCAGCAATTGATATCCTTTGAGAGAGCCCTATAATTAAAAAGAAATTTAAATTTAGCATGATAACTGTTTTGATAGGCAAAGAGGAACTCCTCTCTCTTATGGTATATCTTTTCTGCTGTATATCTTTAGCATCTTTTTCACTGGATCTTCTTTTCCGTCAGCCTGTGTATATACTTGTTACTTCCCTTGATACTTGGTCCCCTTAGAACTTCTTCTGAAGTTCTTTCTTCCCTCTGAAGTTCATAAAGGAGTAGTTTGTAATCGCCTGATTATTCACTTTTCTCTAAACTCATTGTAGTCTGATTCACCTTATTACTGACATAACTCTTTTTTTTTTTTTTTAAAGATTTTATTTATTTATTTAATTGACAGAGAGAGAGAGAGACAGCGAGAGAGGGAACACACAAGCAGGGTGACTGGGAGAGAGAGAAGCAGGCTTCTGCTGAGCAGGGAGCCCGATGCGGGGCTTGATCCCAGGACCCTGGGATCATGACCTGAGCTGAAGGCAGTCGCTTAACCGACTGAGCCACCCAGGCGCCCCTGACATAACTCTTTAAAGTCACCAAAATTCACTTCTCATTTTCTTAGTCCTTATCCTATATTTGATCTGATTTTACAGTGAACCATCCCTCTTCCTCCTCACTCACCTTGTCATTTTCTCTTCCATTGCCTTCCTTGACAATAGTGTTTTCTATATTCTCTGTCATTTTCTCTGGTCCTGTTCTCCTCCTTGTCGCCATGTGTAGATAATTACTCTAAGGATTTTCTGTGACATGTTTCTGTCTTTTGCGGATCGTATTTCTTCAGCTGTCACCTCTGTGCCTAGGGTTCTCAAGTGAAAATATTTTATAAAATATAAAGTACAGGATTGCTTTATTATTAAGTATTGTATTCCCTGTACCAGCTTCTCTCCTGAACTCTAATTTCCTATTTCTCAATGCTTGCCTAAGTCCTTCTCTGTTCTTACTGCTACTAATTTCATTCAGATTTTCACTAACCTCCCTGACTCTTCCAAAAACCTCTGAGATTTTCCTAACTTAATTCTATTTCTTCTAAATGCATGTACATACTGTTTCTAGACTACTTTTGAACAAAGTCCTTATGTCTTGACCTGGTATTCAAGGCCTTTCATGATCTGACCCCAGCATACTTTTTCAGCTTAATTTCCCTTTCACTTTATCCCCCATGTATCTCCTTAAGCTTCAGTCAAACACCTTTTTGTTAATATATCCAAAAGGTGGAAATGTGTTTTCGTGTGTCAGACATAGCATTGATGTCATTTGTGCTTCAGATACGGCAATTTTCATATAATATACATATAATAATGGTAGAACATTAGGTATCTAGGTTTTAGAAGCCAGCTATCCCATATATGACCATAGTGTGATTTTTTTTTTTTTCCAGAAGCATTTAAGAATGCGCAAAGATATGTACTAAGTATTGTAAAGGGAAAAGCTAGCATTTGGCAGCGCTCTGGAAATTCCACATTAAGTCCTTTGTCATTTAATTAGATTTTTTTCTTTTCTGTCCTGTACATTTTTTCTTTTCACTTAACTGACCATTATGTTTAATTTCAGGCTCTTGATGGTTTTTTTTTAGCAATCATGACAGATGGAAGCATAATATATGTGTCTGAGAGTATAACTTCATTACTTGAACATTTACCAGTAAGTATCCTGTGATCTCTTTCTTATCTAATGCCTATTTTAAATGTTCTAAAGCATGAGGAAGAGGACCTCCAGAGCAGTGTGGAACAGTGGCTAGAGGGGGACGAGAGCTCTAACCATGTCTCCCTGTTTGGCAGTAACTAATATTTAACTGCCACTGTATCTAACCTCTGCCCTCCTGATTCTAATGCTGTTTTCAGTGTTTCCTTTTTAAACAGCCTGGTGACAGTGTTGTTAAATCACTGGAAATATCTTGAGAATAACTAATTTTCTAGGGAGGTATTTCCTCCTTTTGGAGGAACTCAAATAATTTTCTCAAAAGAATAACTTAGAATAACACACTAAAAATAATAGATACAGAATTTTTGTGGTCTGTGCTAGAAATGAGAGTTTTATAACCATATTCAATTTGTTTTCAATATGACTAAAAGAGTACAGAATTAGAAAAGAATTATATTGTGTAATTTTGATTAGGATGGTGAATACCTGAATTATATTTTGTTGTTTGCTGTTTTATTAAACATATATTTATTGAATACTCTGTGTCCCACTGTATGCTAGGTGCTGTGCTACAGTTGACAGTTTTTATAAATTTGAAGTTTTTATTTAAAATGTAATTGTTTAAGAAATGTAATTGTTCTTACCTAAGATAGGGCTTGTAGTATAAATATTCTGAAGTTACTTATAAATATTCTTAAATTGCCCATCTTTTGAAGACTTATAACACTACAAAGCAAACTCTTCTGTAAAGGTTTCTTTCAAGAGATAGTGAAAAGCACTATTTCCCTTCCTCTGATTGTTCTGCTACTTTCTACGTTACCAAAAGAATAAACTCCACACTTAAACGACCAGATTCTACAGTAGGTCTAGTTTTGATTTAAGTGTTCAATCATTAATGTTTTCCCCCTTAACGAAAACCCTCTTTGCTTCAGATTCCCTCCTGGGTTTTGTTTTTTTTTTTTTTTAACTTTTAATTTTAGGCTATTTTTAGATTTACAGAAAAATGAAGAAGATAGTACAGAGTGTTCCCATATGCCCCATACCGAGTTTCCTCTGTTATTCACATCTTCTGGATCTTTTTAGTTGTGTCAGCCAAAGCTTATAGACTGGCAGGTGAATTTTTTGGTAGACAAGATTGCTGCTGATCCAGTAGACCCATTTCATTTCATTCTGAGTTAATAGTAGCTTTTTAAAAACAGTTTTTTGCTTTTCTCCGGTTACTTTGGATACTTAGCCTCATACCACTGACATTGCTGAATTATATGTTATTTAATGGTTTGAAAACATAAGCACAAGTGTCTTTTGAGAAAATGAAATAACATTTGTTTAGGATTATGCATAATAAAAGAAAACAATATGTGCTTTTCTATTTTGAGTTGTCAGTAAAAATTAACTGTAACAAATAGTTTAAAATAATTTCTTTTTGTTTTAATATGCAAACTATTTAATATGCAAACTATTTAATATGCAAAATATTGTCTAAAATAGAATTTTGGCTGTTGCCTGAAAGGAAAGAAACATTAGCAAATCCCCAAGTTAGGCTTTAGTGTTTATAATTCAGTTCTCTTGAGAAATTAAAATTTGCCATTGTCAATAGGACTTAAAATTTTTAAATTCTAATTCTGACTATGAAATTATAAAACTGATACTTTAGGTCCTGCAAAAAATATTTTTCTTAACTTTGTTGCTTCATACTTACGAAATTAACAGGCACATTTTAACTTATTTGTGGCTAATAATCAGGAGAAGGAATTTTATTATTTTTTTTTCCCCTCTTGGTCTGATGTTCTGTAACAAAATCATAGGGTCGTACAACCTCAGCATCAGAAGGGATTTTAGACCTCCTTAGCCCAACCTGCCTTTGTGTTATCAGCAGACATCTACCCAGAAAAATAGGACTTAATTATGCAAGAATTTAGTGAAAGTGCCAACACAAAAAGATCTCTTTACTGGGAACTTAAAATTGGTAACATTTGACAAGTTAAGATTGATTTCCTCACACTTGCTTAAATGTGTTCCTGAGAGAGGATATATTACACTTGTAATCACATGTAATATTGGGGGTGATTAACCGTGTTACAATGTAACAGAGTCTAAGAGTAAGAGTGCTGCTCTGAAGATACTTTTCCTTTCCTTTCCTGCTCTTCTTGTTAGTTGGGAAGTATAAACGTGTGTTTTAAGAAAGTCAGTGCAGACTTTGGTATAAATATAGTATACAGAAATACAATTTAGAATTTTTTTGAATAGTCATATGATGATTTTGAAAGCTTATTTGATAGAGCCAAAATTTTTGTTCCTTATGCCTGTACAAAAGGAACACAGTGGTTGTATCTAACATATATTTGACATTTTTTTCCAGAGGAGCTTTTAGTCCTTTTTAAGCAACTTGTGTTTATATTTCCAAACTAACAGCAGTAATTTAACTGTTGGTTGTCTACCTGAAAGAAAAGGAAATTGGTAAGAGTGAATAGTTTCCAGTAAATGGTCACACTGACCTACTGTAGAAAAAAACAAAAAGGCCTGTATGATCCAGTAATTGCACTCCTGGGTATTTACCCAAAGAAAACACAAACACTAATTCAGAAAGATGTATGTACCCCTGTTTTTATTTCAGCATTATTTATAATAGCCAAGATATGGAAGCAACCCAAGTGTTCATCAATAGATGAATGGATACAGATGGTGTGGTGTGTGTGTGTGTGTGTGTGTAATGGAATACTACTCAGCCATAAAAAAGAATGAGATCTTGCCCTTTGCAACAATGCGGATGGAACTAGAGGGTATTATACTAAGTGAAATAAGTCAGATAGAGAAAGATAAATACCAGATAGTTTCACTTACATGTGGAATCTGAAAAATAAAACGAATGAATAAAAAACCCCAACAGACTCTTAAGCACAGAGAACAAACTAGTGGTGCCAGAGGAGATGGGGGAGCGGGAGGATGGATGAAATAGGAGAAGGGGATTAAGAGGCACAAACTTCCAGTTTAAGAAAAGGAAAGAATGAAAATAGAAAGACTATTGGTTTATGTCACATTATAAACAGCAGGTTTTATATTTCTTCTTCATGAAAATGATTGAGAGAGATAGAAGGATCTAGATAGCTACCATTTTATTTTCTTTCCTCTGAATTGTGTTTGGGAACTGAGTGGATGGTTTGCCAACATCAAGTATGATCAGCTTCATTTAGAGATTTTAAGTGTAGTGGTTAAAGGAAAGTTTGACACATTAATTAGTTGCCTGCTAACTCTGACATTTCAGATTATCAAGTGTCAGGGGAAGCAGAATGGTGGGGAAGGATCGCCTCTGACCATACCACTCTCTACTAGTCTTTCATATTTTCTCTATGAATATGAAACCTCCTGTAAGGGTAACATGGCTTAAATCATAATTTACTGAAATAGTAGAAGAAATTATAGATAAGAATAAATAATAGAAAACTATAATCACTTCCAAAATGAAAGTTTTAGCTTTTCAAATTGGTGTCTTATTTTTCTGTTAAGACAATTTTTTATATTAGTATCAATGCTTATATTACTGATATTATTTTATTTTTATATTTATAGATTATATCTCTCTATATATAGAATATAGATTTATATATTTTTATATTTATAGAAAACAAAAGTAGTTTTCTAGCTTTTGTTCTTATTCATGCTTGAATTTTTAGTTCATTACTTCTAGAGGTTTTTCAGACTTTCAGCAAAATTTCATTAAAATACAGATATATTTTTGATATGGTTATCCCTAAAACCTTTATCAAATAACTCTTTAATCCAAAATATTTTACTGTTATGTGCAAAGTGTAGTCTAATGTGCCTTGATTTGAAGGACAGGAGATAAAGGTGTAAGAGATAGGGCCCTTTTGTTCACTCATGGGGTAGCAGGGCATAGGCATTGAAATATAACAAGTATTTTTTATTGAAAATGAATGATATGAGTAATAAATACTAAAGGAATTTTATTTTTACTGTGGATTATGGTGTTAAAGAGAATGCTTTTTTTAAAATTTGTTTCGGAGGTAGAATTTAATGATTCACAGTTGCGTATAACACCCAGAGCTCATTATATCAAGTGCCCTCCTAATGCCCATCCCCAGTTATCCCATTCCCCCCACCCACCTCCCCTCCAGCAATCCTGTTTGTTTCCTAGAATTCAGCATCTCTTATGGTTTGCCTCCCTCTCAATTTTTATCTTATTTTATTTTTCCTTCCCTTCCCCTATGTTCATCTGTTTTGTTTCTTAAATTCTACATGACTGAAATCATATGATAATTGTCTTTCTCTGACTGACCTATTTCACTTAGCATAATCCCCTCTAGTTCCATCCACATCGTTGCAAAGGGCAAGAAAGGAAATCATTTGAACTGAACTTTGAAAGGTTAGAGGGTACAAATCTGTGGAAAGAGGGGGGAGGATATTCTACTTCATGGGGTAGACGAGGAAGGCTAGAGAAAAGAAAGAATGTGAATGTATGGCTTGTGTGGAGAGTAGTAAAACACCCCTTTCTTACCTCCCACTAGCCCCCATGGTTGTTCTTTATTGTTCTTTGGGGGTTTTTTGTTTGTTTTGCTTTTAACAAAAGCTTTACAGTGTTTAAAATAGAAACAATGGAAGTGCTTTGGTTGAATGCAGGGGGAAAGACCCTTAGCCCCCCTTAGCCCGGCCTTCACAACACCTTCCCACTTCCCTTACCCTCCACCCTTTCCTCCACAGTTTTTGAGATGCCACTTCACTGTTCCCAGAATTCCATGGGGGCAGTTTGAAAATGTAGAGAACCCAAGTAGAATGTACTAGATTTGGTAGGAAATGTGAAGTCACTGAAGTTTTGTCAGTGGTTCTTTTTTTATTATTATTATGTTGTTATTTTTATTTATTTATCTGAGAGAGAGAGAGTGCACTTGTGCATGAGTGGGGAAAAGGCTGAGGGAGAGGGAGAAGCAGACTCCCTGCTGAGCATGGAGTCCGACTCAGGACTCAATCCCGGGACCCTGAGATCATGACCTGAGCCAAAGGTAGGCACTTAACTGACTGAACCACCCAGGCACCCCTTGTCATTTTTGATTCCGCAGCCATGGCACATCATGGATAACCTGATGTTTGTCAAATGAATGTTGGTTACTAAACCATGGTTAAAGCCATATTTTTAGCAAGGATTGTAATGCTTAACATACTACTTGCCTCTTTTGTTATCTAAAAGCAAGGCTTTTGACAATGGGATACAGGATAGATGGCTGGAAAAATGAAATAAAAAAGAAAGGACACACTGGACAATTGAAATAACACCAAATCAGATCTCCTCTTCACTTAGCCAGTGGCTAATGCTTTGGTCCTTTGTTATAGTATATACCGCCATAATTTACTAGAGGTTTGGATATATGGTAAGGCTGTATCTTGTAGCCAAAGATTTTTCTAATAAACTTTCTTAGTCCTGTTATATAGTAAATGTTCACATTTGGTGAAACTTGCCTTTGCAAATAATTTATCAGACTTTCACAGTCATACTGATCATAGATCTGATGACACTAGTATCAGAGGCATGGAGGTCATGTTAACCTTCTTCCACCTTCTCTTGTTTTTTGAGTTGTGCTCGATAACTTGGCATTTGTCAGTTTTTGTAGATAATTGAAAGCCATATGCTCATGTGATGTTTTAAGAATGATGATATGCTTTTATTTTTTTCCCTTTTTTAAATAAGATTTTATTTATTCATTTGACAGAGAGAGAGAGAGCGAGCACAAGGGGAGGGGGAGTGGCAGAGGGAGAGGGAGAAGCAGACTCCCCGCTGAGCAGGAAGCCCAATGTGGGACTCTATCCCAGGACCCTGGGATCATGGCCTGAGCCGAAGGCAGACGCTTAACCGACTGAGCCACCCAGGCACCCCGTGATACACTTTTAAAATACATGTATCTTGAATCACTAAAATTATTTTATTTTTTAAAAATTTCTTTTTCAGTCTGATCTTGTGGATCAAAGTATATTTAATTTTATCCCAGAGGGGGAACATTCAGAGGTTTATAAAATACTCTCTACTCATCTGCTGGAAAGTGATTCATTAACCCCTGAATATTTAAAATGTAAGTAGTCACCATCAAGCAAAAAAGTTAAATGTATTTGGTTGCATTTTCCTTTACTTTTGTACGTTTGTAACAAACACAGATGTGTCAAACCATATTAACAAATAGCATCATTCCATATACCCTATTAGCTCCTTTTTAAATATTTATATATATCTAATGGAATTATGACCATATTAGAATTATGACCATACTCTCAGGGTATATTGAAAGCCCATCTTTTTTGTTACAATGGCTTTGCCATAAAAATGTATTTTACACAAAAATGGAACTTGGCAATGTATTAATTAAGAAAAAATCTTTTTGAATGAAATGAGAGAAAATTAAGATATTCTCATTTTCACCATCACTAACCAATTGAACATTGAAACTTTAGAAAAAAATAACTTATGTATTTCAAAATATTATTAAGTAAAGGAAATTGCTTTATTAAACAGAATTAAGTTATCATTTATTGGATATATTTAATATGCCTGGAACTTGTGCTATATCATAAGAGTGCCGAGAATAGTGAAAAATAGTCCTTGCCTTCAAGAAGTACAAAATACTATGGTATAATCAGACATTTCTCTTAGATTCATTTGACAAATTAATTTGACCTGAATGTCTCATTTTCTCCACTAAATTAACCCTTGTTTAATCTGAAATTGTTTTAACACCGTTTAGTGTTTAATCACTTTTTTTCATTTCGAATATTTGACTTTTCTGGTAATATCGATTCATCATTTTAAAAATTATTTGTATTTTGAACCCTGAAATTCTGTAGCATACTAACTGTCCAAGAATAGAGACACACACACATACATTTATGTGTAACTATGTATGAATGTCTATCGTTGTTAAGAATGGATAGTCTGTCAGGAGTCGAGAAGAACTAGAGACAAGGAGAATCCATTTGAAGCCTATTTATAATTGCTTAAAAATTAAGTTATTAAAAAAATCAAGTTCTTATGACATTGACAGATAGACCATTCCAGGAAAGAGACCTGGGCTGGATATAGAGGCCAGTTATATGTCTATAAATAGTGCTTGACGTTGTGGATTGAATGGCATTGCTTGAGGTAAACGTATAGAGCAAAGAGAAGAAAGCTGGAACCCTGGGACATAGCAGTAGGTGGACAGAGGCGAAAAGGTCCACATTAGAGGCCTTCATAAGAGCAGAATTGGCTGGAGACCTGAATGCAAGCAAGCCTCTGGCAGAAAGACAGCTCTTAGACTTCTGCTTCCAAGATCAGAGGTGAGGTTGGCAACAGTACTTTCTGATAGAGAAAAGCTTTAATTAAATGACTTCCTGACCCCTAGTTAAACAATTAATATACAAAATAAATTCATTTCCCCAGAAAAAAGGTGTTCATGCCAAAGGAGTAACGTGATATATAAGGGGAAATTGCTTAGAAAATTCAGGATTCTGTAAGCTGGTCATTTGGGCCATAATGAAGGTGGGTGGGCAGTACATGTGGTATGATTTGTGTCCAGAGAAGGAAATTGGGCTTAATAGTTCATCCTAAGGAGTTTGATTTTTATTTTTTACATAGTGAGGAGCCAGTGAAAGGGGATTTGAAAAAAAGTGGTGTGAAAAAAATATATCTCAGGTGGAAAATTTTGAAAGGACCAGACTGGAGGTAAGAATAGCAATAGAAGTTAAGGATGGAAGGATGTATATAAATGAGTGTTGAGTAGATAAACTCAAGAGGACTTGGTATTGGGCACAGGTGACCAAGTGGCCAGGGATCATCAGTGGGGAAGGTTTTAGGAAGAAAGTAGTTAGATTTTGAATCTGTTGAGTTTGATAATAAAGCCATTCATGGTAATGAAAGAAGAGTATGAGTTTGATGCTGTGAGTGAAAAGAGGTGTTGCTAGTCCTTGAGTGCTGAAATAATGATGAAGGTAATATTAGTCTAAGAGTAGTAGGCAAGATTGAATTTGAGCGGCAGGAGTGTAGAAGCTTAAAAAATACATTTTGCAGTTACCTGGATGCAGGGTAATTTGTCTACTAAATTGGTGGTATTGGAAGCTCAGTTGGAAAAAATGACTAATGAGAGCTTCCTTGGTGAAATAAATAGCAGGTTCTGGAGACAGATTAGTTTTGGGGCATATGTTAGGTAGAGAAGAGACCAAATTGATAGGGTTTCTAACTGGGGAGATAACACACATAGGACAAAGGAGAACAGCTGGCTTAGAAGAAAGAGGGATAAGTTCACTTCCAGATATTTTGAGTTTAAGTTACTTGGTGGGACAATCAAGTAGAAATGTCCTAAAGCAAATAGTGACATGAGATTTGGTCTTACATAAAATGTTAGGGAGAGAGATTTAGGAGTAAATAAATTTACCAATGCCAATACGTTTATAAGGGATAGTAAAAGATAAAGAGAACTTTTTTTTTTTTTTAAGATTTTATTTATTTGACATAGAGAGAGAGTGAGAGAGAGCACAAGCAGGGGGAGTGGCAGGCAGAGGGAGAGGGAGAAGCAGGCTTCCCGCTGAGCAAGGAGCCCGACGTGGAGCTCGATCCCAGGACCCTGGGATCACGAGCCGAGCTGAAGGCAGATGCTTAACTGACTGAGCCACCCAGGCGCCCCTAAAAAGAACATTTGCGAATGCCCATAGTTTGAAAATAGATTGACTGAGGTTTATAGAAATGGTCAATAAGGTAGGAAGGTAAGTTTCATGTTATGGGGATGAAGATGTAATAAGTTTTAAAGAGGTAGAAACAACAAGGAAAGATCATTTAAGTTAACAATACAAATGTTGGTGATCTTCAGAAGACAGATTTCTTCAGAGGTGTAAAGACTAACACCACATTTCATGAAGTTAAGGGAGATGAATCTATGAAAACTAGAGTACATAATAAAAAGGAAGATCTATGATACTAAAAAGAATAGCATGCAAAACTCTTTGTTTAAGATGGAAAGACCTGGACAAATTTAAAATTGGAAAGTAAGGGCCCAAAGAAGAGAATGTATGGATTCTAGAGGAATGAATGACAGTGGTGTGCCCCTAGTCCTAGAGAAGGTAGGAGAGGCTGTTGCAAGTAGAGAGAAGCATTAGCTTGTAATGGGAAGCAAAACCTTTCTTTGACATTAGAGTGAAGAATGAGAAGGAAGGACAGATAAAAGTGGGGAAACATACAGTTGCTTATATCAGAAGGTCTGTCTTCTCTGTTAAGAACAAGGTGAGATCATCTCCTAAAGATATTCTACTTTTATGGACTAAATAAAATGTCCTTGAGGACTTCTATTGGAGAAAATAGTGATTATAAACTTACACAACTTTTATCATCTTATAGATCATTCATTATGATAAACCACAAATACATCACATTTTTTTCTCATTTCAGCAAAAAATCAGTTAGAATTCTGTTGTCATATGCTTCGAGGAACAATAGACCCAAAGGAGCCGTCTACCTATGAATATGTAAAATTCATAGGAAATTTCAAATCTTTAAACAGTGGTGAGTTAAAAATATAGTGAATTTTAACTTGGTATTTCTTTAAACTCTTAAAGACACAGATGTTTGAACATCAATAACTAGATTTTACTGGAGTAACTGATGATACGTATTTCCTTGTTTTAGTATCCACTTCAGCACACAATGGTTTTGAAGGAACTATACAACGCACACACAGACCTTCTTATGATGATAGAGTTTGTTTTGTAGCTACTGTGAGATTAGCTACACCTCAATTCATCAAGGTATGTTTCTAATTTTATTTTCCAAAGAGGATTTCACTTCATATTATGAGAACTATCTTTATGTAATTTTTTTGTTGTTTCCAGAATAACTGATATTTCTTACAAACATTAAAGCGTAATGATCATGAGTCATTAAATATACTTGGTCATGCTAATTTTTTAATTTAAAATCAGCTAATTAACATATACTGTATTATTAGTTTCAGAGGTAGAGTTTAGTGATTCATCAGTTGCATGTAACACCCAGTGCTCATTACATCAAGTGTCCTTAATGCCCATCACCCTGTTACCCCATTCCCCAACCCCCCTCCCCTCCAGCAACCCTCAGTTTGTTTCCTAGAGTTAAGAGTTTCTTACAGTTTCTCTCCCTCTCTGATTTCGTCTTATTTTATTTTGAAGGAAATGAGTTATCAAGGCACTCATTAAATTATAACTCATTTTAAAATATATCTCCTTTGCAGTTAGCCAGTGGTTATGTATCACCCCTGTCCTGCTTTTGTGCAAAATTTTAGAGTACTTTTGTATAGTTCACAATCTACATTAAAGGGGAAAGGCCAAAATCTAGGTAATTTTTAAAGATTGCTTTTGAAATTTTCTTTTGAAATATGCAAGTGGCCTTTTATTGCATATAATTTACTTCTTCAATTTTAAAATTGAGTTAGATAATTTATTTTATTCCCTGGGGCCCAAGAAGTAGATGATTAGTAGACAAGTGGCAAAACAGTTCAACCACTAGAAAGTGGCTTGAAATAAGCCAGGCTAAGATTTTAAATTTAGGGAGATACCATATTCTAGGACAAAATGCTGAAATAGCAGTTCGAGGATCTTAATCCAGTCTTGCTCTGCTTGTTCTGTTCTTAGGAAATGATAGCAAGGGCTAACATTTGCTAATCGCTGCATAATTCACATGTATTATCTCATTTAATTCTTGTAATAACTTTATAAGATAGTTGCTAGTATGATCCTCATTTTATTATTTATATATTATAATATATATTTATTATTAAGGAAACTGAGGCTTTGCGAAGTGCCAAAGTTGCAGCTGTTAAGTGGTAGAACTGGGATTAATTATAATTCCCATTCTCTCAAAAGCCCAAGCTTTTAATTCACTACATTGTGCTATAGAAGGTCATTCAAGGACACAGGAGGTTGGAATACATTGCTGAGTATGACTAGGGTCTAGGGTTACTGTGTGTGGAGGGGGTAGGAATGGTGGGAGATGAGGTTAGAAAAGCAAGCAGAGTCCAGAAATGTGTTTCTTTGTTGTTTCTCCATGCTAAGAGTTTAAACCTTATCCGAACCAAATGAGAAATCATGAAGGTTTTAAGCAGGGAAGTCATAATCTTACTTGTGTATTAGAAGGTAACTGTGGCCAGGATAGAAGATGAGTTAAAGAACAGGGAGACCTGTCTGGGGAGAAGCTATGGGAATAATGTGAGCCAGTGATGTCAAGTCTAGAGTCTAATAAGACCCTGAAGATGGATGGGATCAAATAGATTTTTTTTTTTTTTTAACTTAGAAGGTGAAATTGAAACGATTTGGTAACAGCCATTTAGATGGTTTTTAAAAGGGAAAATGAGATTGTCTTGTGACTATCAGATTTCTAGACTGATGGCACAATACCAGGTATGCCTCCAGTAACAAGAGGCAGAACTGTGTGAGTATGAGGAGTAAAGCACTTAGTTCATTTTAGGACATACTGAGTTTGTGATGCGTGGGGACATCCGGACAGAAATATAGAACTGTAATTCAGGAGAGAGATCTGAATTTAGAATTAGGGTTTTATAGGCATGTGAGTGAATAGAGAAATATGTTGAGTGAGAAATACTCCCCCAGAATTCTGCATCTGTTTATTGCCACATTCTTTAATACTAGAATATTAAGATGTGATTAGAAAATAAATTAGGGAAAAATTAATAATGACTTTCATGGTTAACAATATTTAGGATTCTTCTAAGGCCACAGAACAGTATTTCTAAATTTTAATTTGCTTGTAGGAAATGTGCACTGTTGAAGAACCTAATGAAGAGTTTACATCTAGACATAGTTTAGAATGGAAGTTCCTATTTCTAGATCACAGGTAACTTCATTTTAAATTCCCTTAAAAGCTAAAAGTCATGTAATTAATGGGTTTTAGTGACAAACGTTTTCTAATCACATGTTCAAATCCATTATCCATTTTTCAAAAACCAAAGATTCTTCCCAAAACTGATTTTTCTTTTTTCTAAGATTTATTTTATTTTTTAGAGTTTTGTTTTTTTTTTTTAATTTATTCATCTGAGAGAGAGATGGAGCAAAAGCACAAGCAGGGGGGAGGGTCAGAGGGAGAGGGAGAAGCAGGCTCCCCGCTAAGCAAGGAGCCCAACCGCAGGCTTGATCCCAGGACTCCGGGATCATGACCTGAGCCAAAGGCAGATTCTTAACCGACTGAGCCACCCAGGCACCCCAAGATATATATATATATTTAAAATTTATTTATTTGAGAGAGAGCGCGCACATGTGTGTGCAAGTCAAGGGGGGTTGTGGTGGAGGCAGAAGGAGAGAAAGCATCTCAAGCAGACACCCCAGAGAGTTGTGGAGCCCGAAGACACAGGGCTCGATCCCACGACCCTGAGATTATGACCTGAGCTGAAACCAAGAGTCTGACACTCAACCAGCTGAGCCACCCAGGTGCCCCCCAAAACTGATTTCTAGTTGAGGTATTTCTTATTGTGGGAAAAGTTATAATATTGATTGTTTTATATGTAATTTAGGGCACCACCTATAATAGGATATTTGCCATTTGAAGTTCTGGGAACATCAGGCTATGATTACTATCATGTGGATGACCTAGAAAATTTGGCAAAGTGTCATGAGCACTGTAAGTAGATTTTAATATTTCTGGTGATAATAACTGCTTTTAGTCAAGTAAATAACGAGTGTGTTAATAGAAGGTGATAAAATGCAGACTTGTAAACCATTTTTGTATTTCTGAAAAATACTGGAAGATTGTCTTTTTTGGAAGATTTTACTTTATAACCAAACCAGTAGGAATCCTAGATCAAACTTAAACTTGTTCCTGTTTTACATATTTTAATCTATAATAGTAAGTACAGGTTTATAATATATAATGAACCTTGTTTTTGAAGTGTGTAAGTTCTGTATCCAGAGTAAGAAAAGTAGATTCCTTTGAAAATTGTATATGTCAAAATATAACACTATTTAATAAGTTTTGATATCCAGGCATGTAAGTCTGCCCAGGAGGCAGGGGCACATTTAAAGAAACTCTTAGAAAGCCCATAGTGAGTACTTAATGTTACCTGCTGTTATGGTTATTAGCAGCAGGAACATTAGCATCTCTTTGTGCCTGGTTGACACTATTCTAAACGATTTATGTACATTATCTCCATTATTCATCACCAGTGTTATCTCCATGAGTAAACTGAGGCACAGTAAGGCCAAGTAATTTAATCTCAATCCCAGAACTCATGGGTGGCAGAGACAGGATTAGAATCTAGACCCTTTACCACATGCTATTCTTTCTTTGTTTCAGAAGTTTGTTTTAATGATATTTTATTTGCTTCTCCGATTCTCCTCTCCAAATCCTACCCTCTTGAAGTATCCTCTAAAGCTTAATTAGATATTTAAGATACTTTCATGATGTCTTCGGCTGGTCTAGTAAGCCTCTATATGAAAAATAAACCATGTTACAGCATCAACTAAATGGAAGAGTTCAGAGTAAAGTTATTTCAGCACAGAAAAAAAAAGCATTCACTCCAAGTGATAGGAGCACTAAGCTCTATGATGTACTGACAAGATCGTACACTTCTCTGACTAGCTGGGTAATTTTGGACAAGCAATTGAGTTTGTAGACCTTGGTTTCCTCATGAAGAGAGACAGAGAGAGATTGATTCCTGACCAGCATTTCCTAAGGTTTGTTTCACAGAATGCCAGTCCATTAAAAACAGATTTTATGGTCAAGGAAACCTGGGAAACACTTCGTAATCAATCCCTACCATCTCCTCACCCCCAGAATCATGACATAAATTAGCATACTCATAGTTTTGAAAAGAAAGACAAGTAAAACTGTTTAACACTGTTTCCCAAATTAATTTAACTACAGAACTCTTTTTTTGCTTAATATATTATAAGACTTCAGAACTTACAATCTACAGAGAATGTTTTCGGTAACACTGTACTTACCAGTTACTTTAAACAATTAACTTACTCTGATTTTCATTAAAGTTTTGAATTAAATGCTCCAAAGATGCAGTCCCTGCCAGGGTACCTGTGGGGAAAAAACCCTCAAATGTGATTATTTATTGCTGTTATCCTCAGTTCTTGTTAGTAGGAGGAAGTCAATACATGACTACTTCATTCTTAAGTATTTGGAAATGTATCGTGTGTGAAAAGTATCTGAGATTAGCAATCACTGATTCTAAGTTGGGCACTGTGGAAGATATGTTAATTGCTTGGGACCTTAAGCTATCTCTATAGAATAACATTTTCTTATAACTGATAATATGTTATTGAAAAGCCAGAAGAATTATGTATATAGATTTAAATGTAAATTATAGCTTTGGCTAAAAACCAGATTCATAACTAATGATATGAATCAATAAATATTTTTCTCTTTTCTTCTTAGTAATGCAATATGGGAAAGGCAAATCATGTTATTATAGGTTCCTCACCAAGGGACAACAGTGGATTTGGCTTCAGACTCATTATTACATCACTTATCATCAGTGGAATTCAAGGCCAGAGTTTATTGTTTGTACTCACACTGTAGTAAGGTAATAATTCTTTTACAGCATTTCTGAATTACAGAAATACTGATAGTGAGTTTGGCAATGTAATTTTTAGGCATGACTTGTTAAGACCTACAGTGATCTTTTCCCTAATTTTTGATACATGTTTTCAATGCATTATTAAATTTACTTACAGGCATTATATGGAAATAGAATGCAGGTACATATACATATATAATTCTTGACATAAACATCATGGTTTAGAGCAGAAGCTGTGACTGTGTTTTATGTACCAAAGTCGATCATGTAAAAGGAGCACTGGAGTAGATAAGCATACTTTTCCTTTGTTTAAGTCCTCTTAAGTACTGTGTAGTCAAAGATCATTTACCGTAGCATATAAAACTTTTGGGATACCTAGATTAAGATAGAACACTATAGATGTGTTCTAAGTTTGTGTAGTGCATAGCAAATAGTCTGGAATCCATGATGAACAAGTAAGACATATATCAAACACAGAACACATCTCTGCAATATTTTAAATGAATGATTAAGCATGAAAATCCTGTTTTTTTCCATTTGTAGTTATGCAGAAGTTAGGGCTGAAAGACGACGAGAACTTGGCATTGAAGAGTCTCTTCCTGAGACAGCTGCTGACAAAGTATGTATCTTAGAGTTTTAAAAAAAATTATTTCTTCCCAATGAAAGGCAAGACTCAATGATTTATAGGAAAAGTATTTTTCAAATATTTCATTGCCTCACTTGTGACAGGGTTATAAATTATATTTTACTATTTATTTTTATTTTATTTTTTAAAAAATATTTTATTTATTTATTTATTTGTCAGACAGAGAGCACAAGCAGGGGGAGCAGCAGCAGAGGGAGAGGGAGAAGCAGGCTTCCTGCTGAGCATGTAGCCCGACATGGGGCTTGATCCCAGGACTCTGGGATCATGACCTGAGCCGAAGGCAGACGCTTAACTGACTGAGTCACCCAGGCGCCCCTTTATTTTTAAATTTAATATTTTAAAACCTTATCTGCTTCAAAAAAGATTTGAAGGGCCTCCTATTTAGTGAGAGACATATGATCTCAGATTCAAACTACCATTTACTAATTGCCTGCGATGTGGAAGGCTCTGGCAAGTTCTTTATATGAAGTGTGAAGTGTCATTTATTCCTCAGACATCCTTATCTCATGGGTAATATCCCTGTTTTGAAAATGTTGAAACTGAGTCTTTGGTGGGGGGGATCTCCCCTAAAGACACATGGCTTGAAACTTCCAGGTGGAAGTATAGTATATTAGTTACCTATTGCTGTGTAACAAAACTTAATGATATAAAATAATACACATTTATTATCTCATAGTTTCTGTGGGTCAGAGATCTAGGCACAGTTTAGATGGGCCCTCTGCTTAGAATTGGTCATTGACTGCAATCAAGGGGTCGGCCCAGGGTCTCTCACGAGGCTGTAGTCAAGGTGTCAGTGGGGGCCACAGTCAACTGAACGTTCCACTGGGGCAGAATCTGTTTCTAAGCTTCCTCAGTGCTTGTTGGAAGGATGGGGTTCCTCAGCAATAGTTGGACTGAGGGCCTTGATTTCTTGCTGGCTAGTGGCCAGAGACAGCCTTCAGTTCCTTTCCAGGTAGCTGTTTCCATCCAAGCAAGTAGGTAAGAAGATCCAGGGAGAGACACCAACAGCAAGGTGAAAGTCGGAGTCTTTTGTAACCTATTCACAGAAGTAATATCCCATCACTTCTATCGATTCTGTTCATTAGAAGCAAATCACTAGGTTCAGCCTCTACTATAGGGGAGGGATTATACAAGGTGGTGAATACCAGGAAACGGGGATCATTGTGGGCTATGTCAGAAGTTGCCTACAACAGTTATTTTTGACATGCAGAAAATAAGTGGAATGAAAAGAATCAAAAATCTGTATAAAAAATGAATTAAATAGGCAGCACTGCCAGGGTCAATATGGGAGATATCATTAAGTTTTTCAACAAACCAGTTCTTCCTGGACATGGCTCTAGATGCTCAGAATACATCGGTGAATAACCCAGAGAAGTTCTCTGCAATCATGGATCCCACGTGAAAGAATTTTTTCGAAGAGGCTTTATATGCTTAGTGGAAGAAGATCCAGTATGTTTTAGTAAGATACATTTTCTGAGAAAAGTGCTTAAATCTAGGGTTCCTTGAAATGAGGGAGGACAGTTATATAAATTAAAGTAATACAGAGGTCATTCCTCCTTGCTTTGTTTTCTCTTACGCCAGTGTCCAATCCTTAGCAAATTCAACTAGCCTTACTTCCGAAATATACTCTGCCTATGTCTACTTTAGCTGTGTTTACTTTTACTACCACAGTCCTCCTGGAGATTAGGTTAGAGGTATATTTTTGAGAAACTTTTAATGCGCGGATGGATTTTAAGGTCATGAATCTAAATGTGATCACCAGGAAATGAATGGAGAGAGAGAGAGAGGGGATGATGAAAGGCAATCCATCATTAAGACGTGAAGGAGACTCAAGGGAAATACCCAGTGAGGTATGAATAAAACCAGAAAACTGAGTTGTCCTAGAAGCCAGGAAAAAGCATGTCCATGAGGAGTGAACAATTAGCTTTGTCATATTCGGCTACAGTAGATTAAATTAGACGAGCACTGAGAAGTGAGCACTGAGTTTAACAACATGCATTTGTTGATCAATAAGAGCAGATTGGATGGAATAGTAATATGAGTGAAAGCCTGATTAGGGTGGGCTTAAGAGAGAATTTTCTGGGACAAGGGGAATTAGAGCTTGTTTGGAGGTTCTAGCAGGGGAGCGCAGCTACTCGTATACCCTTGACCGAAGAACGGTCCTCCTCTATCGGGGAAGGCCGTCCTCTTCGACCGAGTGCGCAGCTTTGGGAGGGACGCACATGGAGCGGTGAGGGAGGAAGGGGACACCCGCCTAGCCAGCCAGATCAGCTGAATCAACCCTGGCGATCAATGGGGTGACAGATGTCACAGCCAGATCACCCTCACATCACATCCGACAAGGGGAATTAGAGACAGCGAGCAGGGAAGGTTTTCCTACAAAAAAGAGTGGAGTGGTGCAGTAGTAGGAAGAAGTAGGCTTAAAAGAAGTTTTTGCTTTTGAAGGTGGGAGAAATTATAGCATGTTTGTATACTGATGAGAAAGGTCTGTTGGAAAGAGAAGAATTACTGATAGAGATAGAGGTAGAAATGCTAGAGCAGTGTTCTTGAACAGATGAGAGAGGATGGGACCCTGTCCATAGTGGACAGATAGGGCTTAGCTAGTGGAAAAATTATTCAGTGACAGAGGAGTTTGGCAAACTGTGAGCTTTAGGCCAAATCTGGTCCTCTGCCTGGTTTTGTAACCCCCACAAGCTAAAAATATGTTTTCCACATGTTTTTAAGTGATTGAAAAAAATCCAAAGAAGGATAATGTTTGTGACACACTCAATTGTTTATATATAGCCTGTGGTTGCTCTTGTGCTGCAACAGCAGAGTTGAATAATTGTAGCAGAGAGTGTGTGGCCCTCAACGTCTATGGTATCGACTCTCTGACCATCACAGAGAGTGTCTGCTGATCCCTGATCTGTGGTGACATGAAGAAAGGCAGAGTATATGAGTACAGATGCTGCTAGGTAGACTGATATAATGATAGGAGCTTACAGCAGCACTCTCTAGTGAAACAGGAAGCAGAGTAACCAGTAAGAGTGGGGTTAGGAGAGGACTTGTTGGAGGTTTGAGAAGAGGGGAGCAAGGATTAAATTGTTTTCTAGGAAAGTAGGAAAGTGAACAGACAAGGTAATTCTAGTCTAGTAGGAAGGATTAAGGGCCCGCTTGAGGTTCTTGGCCATTAATTTAAAGAGAGAACAGTCACCATGTTGTATTTCTTCAGCCATGTTCTGAATAGATTAAAAATTTGGTTTAACGAGCATTGGGATTTTTCCAAGGTAGTGTGGTGAAGGGAGATAGGAGCAGGATAGTTGATGATACCCACAAGGGTGTGGTTATGATTAACCATGAATTTAAGCTGGGTAAAGAAGGGAGAGAAGACATAAAATGAGAGAGTGATTGTGAAAATGTGGTAGAATCAGTGTATTTTTATGTTCTACTAAAGGATTATTGGAGTTGGGAGACTAAAGAGAAATGAGGAGGAAATATGGAAAATGCTGCTCAGAGAGGAAAGTGTTTGAAATTGAGATTATGGAAGGTTTATTCTTACTGGTCATGACAAAGTCTAGGGTATGACTAAGAATGAGTGAGGACAGGTGGAAATCAAGATCAAGGCATCAAGGAAGAGAGAAGTCATGATGTTGAACATGTGAATTGGTACTGATATTGGTAATTATGGAAGTAAGAATTAATGAGGACTGAGCCAGGAGCAGAAATTTGAATTCAGGTGCTTAGTGAGGAGTGGCTACAAGGTCAGTAGACGACTTGTTATAACAAGGAGAGATAGTCATATAGTGATAATGTGAGATTCTGGCTGTGAGTTTTGGGAAAGAGGAAAGGGAAAAGTTCTGGAAAGAGCAGTAGAAGGACTTTGCAGGGCTCTGAAGGTTGTGAGATAGAAAATAGCCACCACTTAAAAGACCTGTAAGGAAGTGGTATTTTCAGGAGACATCTGGGTTTTAGAGCAAGCCAGCAAATGGATGTTCAGAGGTGAGGTTGAGAGTAGGAGATTTTGCTGATTATGGATACTATAGTAATATTCCATTGTATGGTTATACCACATTTTGTTTATCCATTCATCAAGTGATGGACACTTGGGTTGCATACATCTTTTGGCTATTGTGAATCATGCTGCTATGAACATGGGCGTACAAATGCTTGTTTGAGTCTCTGCTTTCAATTCTTTTGAGTATTTACCTAGAAATGGAATTACTGGATCATGTAGTAATTTTATATTTAATTTTTTGAGGAACCATCATACTGTTTTCTATAGTAGGTTCACTATTTTATATTCCTACCAGGAGTGTACAAAAGTTCCAATTTGTCCTTGTCAACACTGGTGATTTTTCTGGGTTTTTTTTTGTTTTAAGTAATAATCATCCTGATGGGTTTGAAGTGGTGTATCTCATAGCTTTGATATGCATTTCCCTAATGATTACTGACATTGAGGATGTTTTCAATGTGTTTTATTGGCCATTTATATATGCAAGACCTTTGTCTGTTTTTAAATTGGATTCTTTATATATTCTGGGCGTTAATCCCTTATCAGATACTCGGTTTGCAAATGTTATCTCCCATCCTGTGGGCTGCCTTTCCACTGTTTATAGTGTTTGCTGCACTTTTGCTGCCTGTGCTTTCAGTGTCACATCCAAGAAGTCATTGCCCGATCCAGTGTCATAAAGCTTTTCCCCGTTTCTTCTAAAAGTTCTATAGTTTTAGTTCTTAGGTTTAGGTCTTTGATCCATTTGACTTAATTTTTGTATATGGTATAAACTAAGAGTCCAGCTTCATTTTTTTGCATCTGTTTCTGTAAATAGAGAATGAAGCCAACGTTTTCTGGCTATAGAAAAGAAATTTTTATTTCCTTACCTAATATTATACAGGTAAATATTACACAGGTACCTTTGCCTTGTTGTGGGTTAAAACTGATTTTGGGGAAGAAGGGTTAGCAGGCTATATCGCTAATTTGGGATCTCTGAACTGAACCACAAGAAAACATTTATTTTACTCTGTCTCCTTAGAGCCAAGATTCTGGGTCTGATAATCGTATAAACACAGTCAGTCTCAAGGAAGCCTTGGAAAGGTTTGATCACAGCCCAACACCTTCTGCTTCCTCCCGGAGTTCAAGAAAATCATCTCACACAGCAGTCTCAGACCCTTCCTGTGAGTACCCTAGCTTGAAAGCACTTTCCCTCGAGAGTGCTTCTAAATTATGTTACTGGTGTCAGCATTTTTCATCAAATGCTACTTTATTTTTTTACATGAAAAGGTTTACTATAGTACTGCTTACTTTAAAAAGTTAGAAACACTGTTTTTAAGTTTTTTATTTTTTTTAGTTGAAGTATAACATACAGCGTTAGCGTCAGGTGTACAATATAATGACTTAACAATTCTATACATAGTGCTCATCACGATGATAAGTGTACTCTTAATCCCCTTCACCAATTTAAGAAACAAATGAACAAAGAAAAAGACAAAAAACCAGACTCTTAAATACAGAAAACAGAATGGTTCGTTGCCAGAGGGGAGGTGGGTGGGAAGATGGGTGAAATGCTACTTCAAAATGATAAATTTTTACATTTCTGAAATATACTAACCTTTCCAATGAGCAAAAGCCATGTTGCTCACATTTAACAAAGAATTAAGTTTATAAAGTAGTGTATAAAATATTTAGGTAGTAGTGTTGGTATTATTAAGTTGCTTTTAATCATCCCTTAAAAAAAAAAAAACTGTTGATTCCCTTTTTACGGTAGAACCAGTATGTTCTTTAAGCTGGCTTTTTTTTTTTTAAGATTTTATTTGAGAGAGAGAAAGGGAGCGAGCCAGTTGGAGGGGGCGGGGGCAGAGGGAGATGGAGAAGCAGATTCCCCACTGAGCAGGGAGCCTGATGAGTGGCTTGATCCCAGGACCCTGAGATCATGATCTGAGCAGAAGGCAGATGCTTAACTAAAACTGAGTCACCCAGGTGCCCATTTTAAGGTTGCTTCCTGAAAGTTTTCTTTTTTCCAGATTAGTTTTTATTTCCTTTGCAACAATGCTAATTTTTTAAATTCTATCAAACATTTATTTATTGTTTTTGTAATTTTTATTTAAATTAAGTTAATTAACATAATGTATTATTAGTTTCAGAGGTAGAGGTCAGTACCCAGTGCTCATTACATCACATGCCCTCCTTAATGTCCATCACCCAGTTATCCCATCTGCCCACCCCCATCCCCCCCAGCAACTCTCAGTTTGTTTCCTATGATTAAGAGTCTCTTACGGTTTGTCTCTCTCTGATTTTGTCTTGTTTTATTTTTTCCTCTCTTCCCTATGATCCTATGCCTTGTTTCTTAAATTCCACATATGGGTGAGATCATATGGTAATTGTCTTTCTCTGATTGACTTATTTTGCTTTAGCATAATACCCTCTAGTTCCATCCACATCATTGCAAATGGCAAGATTTCAATTTTACTTGATGGCTGAGTGGTATTCTATTGTATATATATACCACCCCTTCTTTATCCATTCATCTGTCAGTGGACATCTGGGTTCTTTCCATAATGTGGCTATTGGGGACATTGCTGCTATAAACATTGGGGTGCTGGTGCCCCTTTGGATCACTACCTTTGTATCTTTGAAGTAAATAACCAGTAGTGCAATTGCTGGGTTGTAGGGTCGCTCTATTTTCAACTTTTTGAGGAACCTCAGAGTGGCTGCACCACCTTGCATGCCCACCAACATTGTAAGAGGATTCCCCTTTTTCCACATCCTCACCAACATCTGTCATTTCCTGACTTGTTAATTTTAGCCATTCTGACTAGTGTGTGAGGTGGTATCTCACTGTGGTTTTGATTTGGATTTCCCTGATGCCAAGTGATGTGGAGCACTTTTTCATGTGTCTGTTAGCCATTTGATCTCTTCTTTGGAGAAATGTCTGTTCATGTCTTCTGCCCATTTCTTGATTGGATTATTTGTTCTTTGGGTGTTGAGTTTGATAAGTTCTTTATCGATTTTGGAGACAACCCTTTACCTAATAAGACATTTGGAAATAATTTCTCCCATTCTGTCTTTTGATTTTGTCGACTGTTTCCTTTGTTGTGCAAAAGCTTTTTATCTTGATGAAGTCTCAATATTTCATTTTTGCCTTTGTTTTCTTTGCCTTTGGAGACATGTCTAGCAAGAAGTTGCTGTGGCTGAGCTCACAGAGGTTGCTGCCTATGTTCTGTTGTAGGAGTTTGATACATTCCTGTCTCTCATTTAGGTCTTTCGTCCATTTTGAGTCTATTTTTGTGTATGGTGTAAGAAAATGGTCCAGTTTCATTCTTCTGCATGTGGCTGTCCAACACCATTTGTTGAAGAGACTTTTTTCCATTGGATATTCTTTCCTGCCTTGTTGAAGATTAGTTGACCATAGAGTTGAGGGTCCATTTCTGGGGTCTCTATTCTGTTCCATTGATCTCTGTGTCTGTTTTTGTGCAAGTAACATACTGTCTTGATGATTTTACCTTTGTAATAGAGCTTGAAGTCTGGAATTGTGATACCACCAGCTTTGGTTTTCTTTTTCAACATTCCTTTGGCTATTTGGGGTCTTTTATGGTTCCATACAAATTTTAGGATTATTTATTCCAGCTCTGTGAAAAAAGTTGATGGTATTTTGATATTGATTGCATTGAATGTGTAGATTGCTCTAGGTAGCATAGACATTTTAACAATATTTGTCCTTCTAATCCATGAGCATGGAATGTTTTTCCATTTCATTGTGTCTTCCTCAATTTCTTTCATGAGTTTTCTATAGTTTCTGAGTACAGATCCTTTGCCTCTTGGGTTAGGTTTATTCCTAGGTATCTTACGGTTTTTGGTGCAATTGTAAATGGGATTGACTCCTTAAATTCTTTCTTCAGTCTCATTGTTGGTGTATAGAGATGCTGCAACTGATTTCCGAGCATCGATTTTATATCCTGCCACTTTGCTGAATTCCTGTATGAGTTCTGGCAATTTTGGGGTGGAGTCTTTTGGGTTTTCCACAGAGTATCATGTCATCTGTGAAGAGTGAGAGTTTGACTTCTTTGCCAATTTCAGATGCCTTTTATTTCTGAATAAAAGGCATTGTTGTTGTCTGATTGCTGAGGCTAGGATTTCTAGTACTATGCTGAACAACAGTGGTGAGAGTGGACATCCGTGCCGTGTTCCTGACCTTAAGGGAAAAGCGCTCAGTTTTTCCCCATTGAGAATGATATTCGCTGTGGGCTTTTGCATATGGCTTTTATGATATTGAAGTATGTTGCCTCTGTCCCTACACTGTGAAGAGTTTTAATCAAGAAAGGATGCAGTACTTTGTCCAATGCTTTTTCTGCATCTATTGAGAGGATCATATGGTTCTTGTCCTTTCTTTTATTAATGTGGTGTATCACATTGATTGATTTGCAGATGTTGAACCAACCTTGCAGCTCAGGAATAAATCCCACTTGGTGGTGGTGAATAATCCTTTTAATGTACTATTGGATCCTATTGCCTAGTATCTTGGTGAGATTTTTGGCATCCATGTTCATCGGGGATATTGGTCTGTAATTCTCCCTTTTGGTGGGGTCTTTGTTGGTTTTGGGATCAAGGTAATGCTGGCCTCATAGAAAGAGTTTGGAAGTTTTCCTTCTTCCATTTTGATTTTTTGAAACATCTTCAGAATAGGTATTAATTCTTCTTTAAATGTTTGGTAGAGTTCCTCTGGGAATCCATCCAGCCCTGGACTCTCGTGTGTTGGGGAGATTTTTGATTACTGCTTTGATTTCCTTGCTGGTTATGGGTCCGTTCAGGTTTTCTGTTTCTTTCTGTTTCAGTTTTGGTAGTTTATACGTCTCTGGGAATGCATCCATTTCTTCCAGATTGTCTGATTTGTTGGCATATAGTTGCTCATGATATGTTCTTATAATTGTTTGTATTTCCTCGGTGTTTGTTGTAATCTCTTCTCTTTCATTCATGGTTTCTTTGGGTCCTTACTCTTTTCTTTTGGGTAAGTCTGGCCAGGGGTTTATCAGTCTTATTAATTCTTTCACAGAACCAGCTCCTAGTTTCGTTGGTCTGTTCTACTGTTCTTTTGGTTTCTGTTTCATTGATTTCTGCTCAATCTTTATTATTTCTCTCCTCCTGCTGTGTTTACGCATTATTTGCTGTTCTTTCTCCAGCTCCTTTAGGTGTAGGGTTGGGTTGTGTATTTTTTTTTTTTTTTAAGATTTTATTTATTTATTTGACAGAGACACAGCGAGAGAGGGAACACAAGTAGGGGGAGTGGGAGAGGGAGAAGCAGGCTTCCTGTGGAGCAGGGAGCCTGATGTGTGGGGCTGGATCCCAGGACCCTGGGATCATGACCTGAACCGAAGGTAGACACTTAATGACTGAGCCACCCAGGTGCCCCTGGGTTGTGTATTTGAGACCTTTCTTGTTTCTTGAGAAAGGCTTGTATTGCTATATACTTTCCTCTTAGGACTGTCTTTGCTGCATCCCAAAGATTTCAAACAGTTGGGTTTTCATTTTCATTTGTTTCCATGAATTTTTTTAAATTCTTTTTTAATTTCCTGGTTGACCCATTCATTCTTTAGTGGGATGGTCGTTAGCCTCCATGTATTTGAGTTCTTTCCAACTTTCCTCTTGTGGTTGAGTTCCAGTTTCAAAGCATTGTGGTCCGAAAATATACAGGGAATGATCTCAGTCCTTTGGTTCTGGTGGAGACCTGATTTGTGACCCAGGATATGATCGATTCTAGAGAATGTTCCATGTGCACTCGAGAAGAATGTGTATTCTGTTGCTTTAGGATGGAATGCTCTGAATATATCGGTGAAGTCCATCTGGTCCAGTGTGTGTGTCATTCAAAGCCCTTGTTTCCTTGTTGATCTTTTGCTTAGATGATCTGTCCATTTCAGTGAGGGGGGTGTTAAAATCCCCTACTATTATTGTATTATTGTTGATGTGTTTCTTTGATTTTGTTATTAATTGGCTTCTATAATTGGCTGCTCCCATGTTAAGGGCATAAATATTTACAGTTGTTAGCTCTTGTTGGATAGACCCTTTAAGTATGATACAGTCTCCTTTCTCATCTTTTATTACAGTCTTTGGTTTAAAATCTAATTTGTCTCATATAAGGATTGCCACCCCAGCTTTCTTTTGATGTCCATTAGCATGATAAATGGTTTTACACCCCTCCCCCTACTTTCAATCTGGAGGTGTCTTTGGGTCTAAAATGAGTCTCTTGCAGACAGCATATCCATGGGTTTTGCTTTTTTATCCAGTCTGATACCCTATATGTCTTTTGATTGGGGCATTTAGCCCATTTACCTTCAGAGTAACTATTGAAAGATACAAATTTAGTGCCATTTTATTACCTATAAAGTTACTGTTACTGTATCTCTGTTCCTTTGTGGTCTATGTTACTTTTGAGTTCTGTCTTCGCTCAAAGGATCCCTTCTAATTTTTCTTGCAGGGCTGGTTTAATGATCACAAATTCTTTTAGTTTCTGTTTGTTCTGGAAGCTTTTTATCTCTCCTTCTATTTTGAATGACATCCTAGCTGGATAATGTATTCTTGGCTGCATATTTTTCTCATTTTGCACCCTGAATGTATTATGCCAGTTCTTTCTGGCCTGTCAGGTCTCTGTGGATAGGTCTGCTGCCAATCTATTGTATCTGCCCTGTTCTCCACTATAATTTGCTCCATTATACCTTCTGTGCCCCTCCGCACCCCATCTTCTTCTTCTGGGATCCCAGTTATTCTAATATTATTTCATTTTATGGTATCATTTACCTCTTGAATTCTCCCCTCATGATCCAGTAGTTGTTTATCTCTTTCTCAGCTTCTTTATACTTGATCATTTTGTCTTCTGTATCATTTATTCTCTTCTGCCTCATTTATCCTAGCAGTTAGGGCCTCCATTTTTTATTGCATCTCATTAATAGCCTTTTTTATTTTGACTTGATTAGATTTTAGTTCTTTTATTTCTCCAGAAAGGGATTTAGTTTTTTTATTTATCCAGAAGGAGATTCTCTAGTGTCTTCTATGTTTTTTTCAAGCCCAGATAGTATCTTTATAATCGTTATTCTGAACTGTATTTCTGACATCTTACTTTTATATCCATACTGATTAGGTCCCTGGTAGTCAGTACTGCCTGTTGTTCTCTTTTTTGAGGTGAGTTTTTCGATCTTGTCATTCTATCCAGAGAGTAGGTGAATGAGAGAACAAAATACTAAAATGGCAACAATGACTCCAGAGAAATATACACTAAACAAATCAGAAAAGACCCAAAACTGAATTAAAAAAAAAAAAATACTGTAATCAGACAGGTGAACAGAAAAGAGCAACACACTGGATGCTGTGTGTATTTTGGTCTGTTTGTTAGAAAACCAGATCCCAAAATTGTAAAGAAAAAAAAAAACCATATGTACAAAAATTAAGTACAATGAAAGGATAGAGTGTAACTGTAAAATTGAAAATTAAAAGACAAAAAACAAAGGAATGTAAACAGGTGAACACAACAGAACAGAGCAATACACTATATCCTGAGTGTATTTTGGTCAGTTTGTTAAAAGGAAACTACATTTCGTTATTGTAAAGAAAGAAAACCTTATACAAAAATAAAATTAAATACATTGAAAGGATAGAATGTAACTGTAAAGATGAAAATTAAAGACTTTAACAAAAAAAAAAGAAAAAGAATATGATCAGACAGGTGAAGAGAACAGAGCCATACACTAGATTTTGGGTGTATTTTGGTCTGTTTGTTAAAAGAAATTGCAACCCAAAATTGCAAAGAGAAAAACTTTTATATATATACAAAAATAAAATTAAGTACAATGGAAGGATAAAATGTAAAAGTGAAAATTAAAAAATTTTTAAAAAGTTCATAAAGTAAGAAATTGGTTGAAAACAGAGGAAAAAATTAAAATTGAAAGACGAAAGAATCATGGGGAAAAGACCTTTAATTCTATAAACTATTTTCTCCTAGTGCTTGAGTTTTGCAGTTCTCTATGAACGGTAAACTTGGTCTTGCTGATCTTCTGGGGGAGGGGCATGTTGCGTTGATTCTCAAGTGTCTTTGCCCCAGGAGGAATTGCACTGTCCTTGCCAGGGGGCCAGGCTAAGTAACCTGCACCTGATTGCTCCCTGTGGCTTTTATTCCCTGAAGGGTTTCCGCGCTGCAATGGCAGCTTCCCAATGTCCAGCGGAGCCAAGAACTCGGCGCCCCACTCCTCAGTGCACCCTCAGGGAAAAGCAGTCAATCACTACGGTCTCTCTTGTCTCCGGCTGCACTCCGTGCTCACCTGGCCTATGACCCAGCATTTCTATCTTGGTCATGTGACCCCATTTTGAGTCTCCAAACCCTGAAGACTCCTGCAGCGCACACTCACGCCGATCCTCCTGGGGTGGGGGTGGGGTCTTGCGGGGGTTCTGCTGTGCCCCGGTTTGTAGTATATAGCACAACAAGCTGGGAACCAATTCCTGGGCTCAGTGATTACAGCCGGCTTCCCTGCTCTGATGCCTGGGAACTCGGCCGCACTCAGGCACTCCCAGTCTTCCTGTGACCCTGGGGATCCTGAGACCACACTGTCTCACTTAGTTTTCTGCCCTGCTTTGCCACCTGAGCACCTTTCATGCAGGGACATCTCTCACCTGAGCAGACTTCTAAAAGTTCTGATTTTGCGCTCCACTGCTATGTCACTTTCCAGTATCCAGCTTATGGAGGCTCCCTCCCCCACAGTTAATCTTCAGACATATGGCCTCAGATTCACTTCTCTGCACCTTCTATCTTACAGAAAGTGGTCGCTTTTCTATTTGTAGAGTTGCAGCTATTCTTTTCTTAGATCTCCAATTGAGTTCACAGGTGTCCAGAATGATTTGATAGCTGTCTAGCTGAATTCTTGGGGCCAGACAAAAACTAAGGTTTCCTACTCCTCCACTATCTTGGACTATCTCCTGAAAGTTATTTTTAGTTCTTATTTTCAATGAAGACTTGCATAATTATCATTCAGTTAGTAACCTTTTTTTGTTTAAAGGGTTTAGCAGTTTCACTTCCCAGGGTATTATATCTGTGTAAGGAAAAAGGAGGTTGTTAGAACCACTCAACACCATGGGTAGACCATTAAAGAAGTGTTAAACATAGAATTTCTTAAATATTAGGGGAAAAAGTTTTCCCCTTGTAGCTATGTCTCTTTTTATACATTTTATTTTACTGTGGTAAGAATACTTCAAATGAGATCTATCCTGTTAAATTTTTAAGCTTACAATACATCATTGTTGGCTATAGGTACAATGTTGTTGTGCAGATCTCTAGAGCTTTTTCGTCGTACTTAATGGAAGTGTTATGCCCACTGATTATTAACTCCTTATTTTCCTCTATCTCCCCAGCCCTTGTCAATCACCAGTCTACTCAGATTCAATGAATTTCTCTATTTTAGATACCTCATATAAGGGAGTCATGCAGTACTTGTCTTTCCATCATTGGCTTTTTTTACATAGCATAATGTCCTCAGGATTAATCCATGTTGTTGTATCTCACAAAATTTCATTCTTTTTAAAGGTGGAATAGTATTTCATTGTATACATATTACCACATTTTGTTTTTCCATTCATCTGTCAGTAGACATTTTGGTTGTTCCACATCTTGGATATTAAGAATAGTGCTGTAGTGAACATAGTAGTGCTAATATCTCTCTGAGATCCTGATTTCAATTCTTTTGGATAAATACCCAGAAGTGGAATTGCTGGATCACATGTGGTAATTCTATTTTTAATTTTTTTAAGGTGGCTCCGTGGCGCAATGGATAGCGCATTGGACTTCTATTTTTAATTTTTTTAGAAACCTCCGTTATGGTTTCCCACGGTGGCTACACCATTTCATATCCGTACCAATTGTGTGTGGAACGGTTCCAATTTCTTTACATTCTCAGCAACACTTCTTGTTTTTTTGATAATAGCCATCTTGTCAGGTGTGAAGTTGTGTCTCATTGTGGTTTTGATTTGCATTTCCCTGATGATGAGTGACCTTGAACATTTTTTTCATATTCTAGGTGGCCATTTGTGTATCTTCTTGGAGAAATGTCTTTTCAAGTCCGTAGGCCATTTTTAAATTGAGTTATTAGGGTTTTTTTTACTATTGATCTCTAGGAGTAGTAACCACTTTTAAATTTGAAGTTTTCTTATTTCAGATATTTTCTTTGTCCTTAAGAAAGAATTAAAATGAATCCTCTTATTGTCATAGACTTCACTTTTATGAAATAATTTAGAAAAATAATTGAAAGATTATTTTTATTCATTGAAATCCATTTTGAGATTAATCTTTGCAAATTATATTTTACAAAGTACTAACACTATTTCATTTTTGTTGACGAACCTCAGCAACACCAACAAAGATCCCAACGGACACTAGCACTCCTCCCAGACCACATTTACCAGCTCATGAAAAGATGGCGCCAAGGAGGGCATCATTTAGTAGTCAGGTAAACTTTATCTAGGTAGTATTCTTCTGAATAAAGATTTATTAAAAGGGGGGGAAAATCATGTAAATCTTTAAAAATTCATTAATTCATTACCCCTTTCTATAAAGATCAAAATAGCTGTTGATAATTTTGTGAAATAGTTCTCAGACATATTCCTTTTGATTATTTTTCAGGTAAAATGTTAGATATTTCTTTTAATTAAGGAAAGTTATTAATTTAGAGCCATTTCATATCCAATTTCAAGTACCAGTCACTTTCAGTTATGTCCATTTAGCTTTTATTGAGAGCCCATGCAAGGTAATGTGGCTGATGACTTCGAAGATAAAAGGATAAGTAGGGAATAAGGCATGTCCAGTGTAGAGGGGGAGACATGCCTGCCTGTACTCAGCTAAAAATGTTATGAGGCAAATTGTAGTTCAGTTATAAAGATACCATGGTGGAATTTCTGGTGGAAGTACTTATGGTTGGGGATAATCATCACTCCAGTGTTATTTTTTATTTTGCTTCCTAGTCCATAAATTCCCAGTCTGTTGGTCAATTGTTAACACAGCCAGCGATGTCTCAAGCTGCAAATTTACCAATTCCACAAGGCATGTCCCAGGTATTTTTTGTTTGTTTGTTTGAGTTGAGTATTTTAAAATGATAAATTGTTTTAAGCTAATAGAGATTTTTAAAAATACATACTTTTAGTGCGGTGAATCTCACCTGTTGGCATTTATAATCTCTGGGGGATATTTTTGATTGTCAGTGATTGTGGAGTATCACTGGCCCTTAATAGGCAAGGGCCAGGGATGCTAGTTGTCTTTCAGGATGCATGACAGTTTTGCACAACAAAGAATTATCCCGGTTTATATGCTATAACACCCCCACTGAGAGACACTGCAGACAGAAAGCTATTAAAGATGAAATATAGCTCTTCTTTTTGTTCTTCCTGTGAATATTGGAAGAATCAAGTAATTTTATTCATATATTCATTCATTCATATATGGGACATTTATTGAGATACTTGAATTATTACAGGTGCCGGCAATACAAATACATGTAAACTATGAGACTTTTATTACATCTAGAAGGAATGACCTAGAACTACAATGCGGTATTATATAGTCTGTGCTCAAGGTATTTAGGCTCAATGTATATAGGCTGATATGTGAGCAGTTTAGATGGGCCCCTAGTTCAGCCTAAGTGAAGGAAAACTTTCTGGAAGAATTGTTGCTTGGGCTGAGTCCTAAATACAGAAATTAGCAGGAGAAAGGAGAGGTGTTAACAAAAGTGACACTAAGTTACTTTTGATTATAACTTCCCAACTTGGAATTTATGACTCTGCATTCAGTCAGAGCCTCAAACACATTAAAAAATACTAGGTAGTGGTAAAAATAATCCAAACTGTTTTGTTTAGTTCAGTATACCTTGACTTAGCAGTATTTCAAATATGATAGTTAACAATAGGTAAAAATGGTTTTCTAAAAATACCTTTGTCTTACATGGTTATTATTTAAATTATACATATATAATTTTAGCCATTATATGACACCTGTACAAGTATATTGACAACGTTGTAAATTACCCAAACATCATAATCTTTACTTCCAGCAACAAATGATCATGTAAGGTGCTTAAATATTACCTGTAGTTGTAATAGTTTTTATCAACATTTGTTCTGAAGGTTAACAGATCTTTTAATGTAAATATTAGACATACTTTCAATTATTAGTTCACTAATCTCAAGATACCGAATGAGTATTAACATTTTAAAGGGATATTTTCATGAAATTAACATATGTCAAAAATGTTAGTAAGTATTCAGATCTCATATTTCATTGAGTGATAAAGCCAAATACTTGGCTCTTAGTTCTATAATTTTATTTCCTGTTATTCTGCCTTCTGTGTTTGTATCTGTTATTTGCATTTAGTAGAAATCCTTTAAGTGATGACAATGTAATATTTACCCAAAGGTATAAATAACTTTTGTTAGGATAAAATACAACACTTTGAATATTTTTTAAGGACATGAGGGAGCTGAGGTACAAAATTTGTAATGTTTTCTCATACTTAGTGTAATCTAGTATATGATCTGATGATTGTTAACTTCAGAAGTCAGAGTTCTATACTTTTTGAAAGGTTATATTCAGTATCCTCAACACAACTTTTGAAGATAGAGAAAAAAAGCTTTTGGGAGGGCATTGCTCACTTTTAGATGCAGTTCACTATAGGAGACTTTTTTTTTTTTTTTTTAGATTTTATTTATTTGAGAGAGATTATGAGTTGCAGGGAGGAGCAGAGACAGTGGGAAAAGCAGACTCCCTGCTGAGCAGGGAACCCAGTGTGGGGCTCAGTCCCAGAATCCTGGGATCTTGACCTGAGCCAAAGGCAGACACTTAATTGACTGAGCCACCCAGGTGCCCCTGTAGGACTATTTTAAGATTAAGACACATTTCCAATAAATTGGAATTCTTTCTGCTATACTATATCCTGTGCTAAATATTCATGGAATAATTAAATGAGCATGTATACACTTAAGTAATGAATCACTAAGTGTGGCTAAATTTCAAGCAGTAGTAAATAGAAGCTGTTTATGACTCAAGTGAAACCGTGAAATAAGATTGAAAATGCTGGAAGTAGAATAACTGTTTTCATTCATGTATGCATTTATTCATTCATAATTGCTTAGTCTTTAAAAGCCTACATTTCATGCTTGTTTGAGAACAGTTTCAGTTGAAAATATGTGTAAAAATATGGTTAGTTATCTGTTAGATTTTTATAACCTTCTAATGATGTGTACAAAGAAGACATTCTAAGGATGACAGAATTTGATATGAATAACTCTAGGAGCAGGCTACTTTTTCATTTATTAAATGATAGAAATTAAGTACCTTGTTCTAGGAAATGGTAGAGCCACAATATAAGCTCTGGTCTTTTTGTTGTTATTGTTGTTATTTATTTTAGAGAGAGCAAGCGGGCAGGGGTGGGGCAGAGGGAGAGAGAGAAAGAGAATCTCAAGCAGACTTTGTGTTGAGTGCAGAGCCTGATGCAGGGCTCAATCTCAGGACCTGGAGACTATGACCTGAGCCAAAATCAAGAGTTGCAGGCTTAACCAACTGAGCTCTGGTCTTCGAATGCCAGTGTGTACTTGAAATCAGTCAAGATCTGGTCAGAAGTCAGAAGTAATATCAGAAATTTGAAATAGGGGTAATAATAAAGTTATTAACAGGGAATCCTAAATAATAACAGGGATAATGGCATTAGAGAGCATCCACTAACTGTGAGAGGGAGAGTATAGTATGCAAAGAGGGAACAACTTGGAAAACTCCAACCCTCCTAAACTCTTCTTCCTCCAGGCCAGGTTGAAACTCAGTTCCCATTGGAGCTGATGTGGCTGCAGCCACTGAATGAGAGAGAGGTTCACTGAGGTGCCACAGACCAGGGCTGGAGAGCAGGAAGCCACCTGCTGGGGTACCAGCCAAATTTGCAGGGGAGCTTCCCATAAGGATGCCAGTAAGACTTGCTAGAAAGCCACCTCCTTTTGCAGTATCCCTCCAGCTCCATCTACTGACATGACTAAGTTTGTGTCTGCTGACAAAGGAGAAATATTTATAGGGTCCAGCTCCAGTAGCACAAAGCCAAGCAAAGGTGGGTGAATTAGGAGCTGAGAGGCAATACATTGAAAACTGGCATAACATTCTTAGCTCATGATATATACTGCTTATTTTTCACATTGCATAATTATGAAGAGTAAAGTGATTCTAAAATATGTTACACTTTTCCCATACATGGTACTTCAGTTTCAGTTTTCAGCTCAATTAGGAGCCATGCAGCATCTAAAAGACCAATTAGAGCAACGGACACGGATGATAGAGGCAAATATTCATCGACAACAAGAAGAACTAAGAAAAATTCAAGAACAACTTCAAATGGTCCATGGTCAAGGGCTGCAGGTAAGCTATTATATTTGAATACAAGCAAAATATGTTGTTCACATTTTGGTTTCTTAGGAAAATTGACTTTTCTTAATTAAAAATGAGAAGCAAGAGATAACATTTCATCAGTTTAGTTCAGTAAATACTCATTGATTACCTACTCAGTATGATTGCATTTACAGTCTGATTCATTCCTAAGAGTATTTCCATCAACATCCTTGTTTCTCCAGATTAGAGTCCTCTTTTAGCAGTCTAGTTTTTAGTAAACTTAAACCGATAATACAGTATTTTATTATAGACTTTTAGGTATATGTAGGTACAGAGTTTATAAATCAATCATCAATCATTGTTTTAGTAAACTTCCAGTAGATATGATTCGAATTAGTCTTATTTGATCAGTGGACGGGGCCACTAAAATTATATCTCTCAGAAGAGACTAAGATTTTGGAGAAGGGAAACTTTAAGTGAAAAAGAAAAAAAAGCTACTTCTATCTAATCCATACATTATAAACAATGAGTGATGCAGAACTGCCAGTCCACAGACCTTTGAGTAGCACTTGAGTTTGAGTAATGCTAGCTGGTAGAACAAACAATGCCCAACATGTAAAATACTCAAACAAGTAGAGGTTTTGAAATTTATCACCCTTTTTCTGACAGTTGGAAACATGATAAGGTTAGGATGACTGGAAGAACAAATAAGAATTATATTTTATCCAGTAATTGTTTATTGCTAATTGTTCACTCAGAATGACTTAGCCATCCTATTACTTGCTTTTTAAACTTAATTTGTAGCTTGTTTTTGCTTTCTTTTTTTAAATTGCTCTCATTCTTCATTTTTAATCTACAAAGCTCATTTTAATGTAATCTTTATTTTTAAAGATGTTTTTACAACAGTCAACCCCTGGTTTGAGTTTTGGTTCTGTTCAACTTTCTTCTGGAAATTCATCTAACATCCAGCAACTCACACCTATAAATATGCAGGGACAGGTCGTTCAAACTAACCAAATTCAAAGTGGAATGAATACTGGACACATTGGCACAACTCAGCATATGATACCACAGCAGACTTTACAGAGTACATCAAGTCAGGTAACAGTATTAAGTGCGGTGGGCTCTGGAGTGTTGAGTGATTGAAATGTATACTATTGTAGAAAATTCCATATTTTAACCTTGAATAGTAATAATCAGAAGTTTAGTTTTGAGGGTGACCATTAAAATATTTTGTGCAAAATTGTTAAATTGCTGATGTTATAAATGCTTTCAGTATCCCGACATTTAAAAATTTTGCAGTTCATTTAAAATGAACATGCAGAGTACTTCTGTATGGTAAAAGGTTTGACTTACAAAAGAGACTGACCAGGAAACATGTTACTATATGTGAAGAATAAACTGTTAACAGTAGTGATAGTTTAATCAGTATTCTAGGAAATTTCATGTAAATTTCAGGAAATTTGATGCAGGTAATTGGTATATATCAGTGACTGTAAATCCCAAGACTTCAAGTGAAATCTATAAAGATGTCTAATGTCAGTCACTCACTTTGGGCATTTAACAGAAGTTCTAAAGTTCATAGCTTATATTCCAGCAATATATTGAAGACTAATTCATTCGCAATTACTACAAATCTTTTTCCTTTGTAGTTAGATTTCTCCCAGAGTAATGTCCTGCTTCTTTTTTGGTCATGTCAACTATTAGAGTGATGAATAGTGGATGCATATTTCCTGAAAAAAATTTTTTTCATTTAATTCATCTGTAATATCTTCTATTTTCTAGCAGAGTCAACAAAATGTACTGAGTGGGCACAGTCAACAAACATCTCTTCCCAGTCAGACACAGAGCACTCTCACAGCCCCACTGTATAACACTATGGTGATCTCGCAGCCGGCAGCTGGAAGCATGGTCCAGATTCCGTCTAGCATGCCACAGAACAGTACCCAGAGTGCTGCAGTAACTACGTTCACTCAGGACAGACAGATCAGGTGGTTGTCATATTTCGGTAGTCATTCCAAAGCTGTAAAAATTGATTAATTAAACAGTAATTTGATTTTTAAAAATATGATTTTAGTTTGTAGCTAACTCCCGCCAGCATTCTTGAATTAGAAATAAAAATGCAGAAGGGTGTCTGGGTGGCTCAGTTGGTTAAGCATCTGCCTTCGGCTTGGGTCGTGATCTCAGGGTCCTGGGATTGAGCCCCACATTGGGCTCCCTGCTCAGTGCGGAGCCTGCTTCTCCCTCTCCTCCCTGCTTGTGCTCTCTCTTGCTTTTTTTCTCTTTCTCGCTCTCTCAAATAGGAAAAGAAAAATGCAGAATATGTCCATTGTTTAAGGACGTTATAGTAAAAGAATTCCTGTCCAAAAATGTTCTACCAAATATTATAGAATCCAATATCCATAGCATACTGTTATAGGAGTTTTAGGACAGGCTTTGTATGACTATGAAACTTTGTTTTAATACAGATGTTGATGAGTTTTCATCCAGTAACTGTGATTAAGGTTTATACTACCATAGTTTATATAGGTTATGGAATAAAAGTAACTTACCTTTCTTGAGTTTGTTGAGTACTGTACTAGGTGCTCAAAATACACTATCTCATTTAATTCTTTCTTTCTTTTTTTTCTTAAATATGTGTTGGGTCTTTTATTTCCCAGATAAGAAGAGTGAATTTATAGTAATTTGGTTAGGGGCTTATAGGTAGTTAAGGGGGTGATGAGTAGTTTCTAAATTTAAGCCTAGGTATCTGATTTCAAAACTCAAGTGCTTAAATTTATAGTATACTAAACTTTTGTGGGCCATTCTAGAAAAACAACCATTTATGACTTATTTTAGTGGGCAGTCCAAATAGCTGACATAGAAACAAATATTCTGAAGAAATGCCATTATTTCATATTTTGGGAAGCTTTTAACAATTACAGGATCTCTATGGTCTTAAAACTTGTATTTTAAAAATTTTTTAGTTTTTACTTATTTTACTGCAATACAAGTAGGCTACTGCTTTTATAATACAATTTTGTTGTATCAAACTGCTTGGTAGGTTTTATTAAAATCCTATTAATTTCCAGAGAGTAAAGAAGCTGCAGGATCACAGAGGCAATGAGAGCATGGAGAACTCATTGCTTCTCTTTGGAACTCAGTTCTTCAAGTGAAGTCCAACTTTTCGCTCTGAATTCTAAAAGGAGGTATTATGAATGTGCTCCATAGAAATGTAGAGGATTACTTTTAAAACCTGAGGAAGGCGTCATTAATCTAGAATGCTGATGTACATTTTGGAGGATACAACTTAGCAACTATTTGTGGATCTCTTTTTTTTTTGAGGGGAAAATACATATTTCAGCAAATATTGGAGTGCCTACTTAAGTGAGTATGGCACATTCTTTGTCCCAAGAGAATAATCAGACTCGTAAGCCGTAGAAGGTTAAACAAATCAGTATTATTTGGCATGATAAATACTTCTTCCTAGGTCTTTAAAAAAAGGAAGTGAGCAGTTTTATGGGTTGAGGCAAAGAGGTGAAGAGAGGAGTGTGGTCAAGGCCAGGTTTCACAGAGGAGGAGGTCCTTGGCCTGAGTCTTAAAGAGCTAGACTTTTTCATGTGACAGGGAGTCTCAGAAGGGTGTTCTAAACAAAGGGAATAGTATATACAAAGTCACAGAAGTGAAAGTTAAGCATTAAGTAGACTGAAGAATGTCTCTTGGTGCCAGAGATGGATGAAGTATTCTCATCACATTTAACCAGTGAGCAGTTGGGGCAGTTTCTTTTAAGATTACAGATAAATGAGCATTTAGTATTTCTGTGCCCAAGCTACTTTGTAAATGTTACTTTTCTTTGGGCATTATTCTTCATATGTGAATTTTTAAATTCTTCTATACATATTTTTTGCATTAAATAATGCATTCAGTCCTGAAGTGTATAAAGTAGCGTATTTTATTTTCAAGATTTGGTGTGGATTCAAAAATAGATTTACTTTGTCTTATGGACCACATAAATAATAAAGTGCGTTTCTCCTAACTTTAACACCACTACGTACTTGACACAGTTCATAACTGCAGTTATGTTGTGCTCCATTCACAGTGGAGTCATAGCTCTGTAACGGCCAATGTTAGAAACTAACTCACTAAAGAAAAGGCAAATAGAAATAATATTGTTCCCTGAACAGTTACCATTTTTTGTTATTTTTTTAATTAAAATAGAAGGAAGGTGGGGAGGGAGCGAATATTAGTGAATTCTAACACAGTGGGTACTGTTCTATATCAATGAATTTATAAATTGAGGGCACTTTTATTCACTGCTAGAAGGTCATTTAATTTTGAATTATGTTTATAAGATACAACTTGCAGTGTAAGTATCTTCTTGTAAAACATAGAGGTTTTTAAAAATCCCTTATGATAGCTTTAACTTTATTCATGATTAGCAAAATGAACACATGCCACACATAGCTGACTCCCCAAGTACCTAGAATTTTATAAAAAGAAGATATTTTTTAACAGATTTAACACCCCCCCCCCCCCCCGTGGTAAAATATACATGAAATTTACCATGTTAAAACCTATTTCAACATGTACATTTCATTGACATTGAGTACATTTATACTGTTGGGACCATCACTACCATCAATCTCCAGAACTTTTTTCTTAGTCCCAAACTGAAACTCCATGCCCATTGAACAATAATTCCCCATTCCTCCTCCCCTCTAAGTCCTGGAAGCCACCATTCTGCTTTCTAAGCACATAAGTCTATGAATTTGACTACTCTAGATACAAATGGAATTGTATAATATGTGTGTCTTTTGTGACTGGCTTATTTCACTTGGCACAGTGTTCTCAAGGTTTGTCCACGTTGTGGCATGTGTCAGTATTTTATTCCTTTTATTTTAAGGTATTTATTTATTCAGTCATTCGTTCATTCATTCATTCATTTAGAGAGTGAGAGTGGGGAGGGACAGAGGGAGAGGGAGAGAATCTTAAGCAGGCTCCACGTTCAGAGCCCAATGTGGGGCTTGATCTCCGGACCCCGAGATCATGACCTGAGCCGAAATCAAGAGTTGGATGCTTAACCTACTGAGCCACCCAGGTGCCTCAATTTTATTCCTTTTTAAGGCTGAATAATACTTCATTGTGTGAATATACCAGTTTCACATTTCACACATTCATATTGTGAATACACCAGTTTATTCGTTCATTGACGGACACTTGGGTTGCATCCATCTTTTGGCTATTGTGAATCATGTTGCTATGAACATGAGTGTACAAGTATCTGAGATCCTGCTTTCAATTCTTTTTGAGTATATATCCAGAAATGGAATTGGTGGATCATGGTAATTCTGTATTTAATTTTTTGAGGAACAGTTTTTAAAAGCTGTACGTTCCAATTTTGTTTCATGTTTCATGTTTTTAAAGATTCCTTCGGGAATACCAGTAAAACAAAAATGTATGTAGCAAAATGAAATCACAAACAAAAATATAAATTCTTTGGATATCCATATGCAAAAGAATGAAGCTGGACCTTTACCGTTCACCACATACAAAAATTAACTCGGAATGGATTAAAGCACTAAACATAAGAGCTACAACTATGAAACTCTTAGAAAAAATGGGGGAAGTTTCATGACACTGGATTGGGCAGTGATTTCTTGGAAAATACAGGCAACTAAAGAAAAAATAGATAAACTGGACATCAAAATTAAAAACTTGTATATAGGGGTGCCTGGATGGCTCAGTCGTTAAGCGTCTGCCTTCAGCTCAGGTCATGATCCCAGGGTCCTAGGATCGAGTCCCGAATTGGGCTCCCTGCTCAGCGGGGAGTCTGCTGCTCCCTCTCCCACTCCCCCTGCTTGTGTTCCTGCTCTCATTATCTTTCTCTCTCTCTCTCTGTCAAATAAATAAAATCTTTAAAAAACAAACAAATAATAAACTTTTGTGTATCAAAGGACACTGTCAGCACAAGGAAAGAGAAACCCACAGAGTGGGAGAAATTATCTGCAAATCACATATATCTGATACAGATTATATAAAACAATCAACAATAAACAATCTGATTTAAAATGGGCAAGGGTCTTGAATAGATGTTTTTCTAAAGAAGATATACAAATGGTCAATAAGCAAATGAAAAGATGCTCAACATCACCTATCATTAGGGAAATGCGGATCAAAACCACAATGAGATACCACATCACACCCATCAGGATGGCTATTATAAAAGAAACAGAAAGTAGTGTTGGTGAAGATACGGAGAAATTGCAACATACACTGCTGGTGGGAATATTAAAATAGTGCCGCTTTTAAAAACTAAACCAGCAACATCACTCACTGGATGTTATCTTAGAGAAGTGTCCAGCCCACTGCCTTTTGTAATGTATACCTTGTACTTCTGACTCCCCTTCTTCTCTTTCTTTCCTCTTCACAGATTTTCTCAAGGTCAGCAACTTGTGACCAAATTAGTAACTGCTCCTGTAGCTTGTGGGGCGGTCATGGTACCTAGCACAATGCTCATGGGTCCGGTGGTGACCGCCTACCCTACCTTTGCCCCGCAACAGCAGCCGTCCCAGGCACCGGCAGTCACGCGGCCGCCGCAGAGCTCCCGGGAACAGCAGCTCCCTTCAGTTCAGCAGCCGCCTCAGGCTCCGCTGACCCAGCCACCGCAGCAGTTTCTGCAGGTACTTCTCCCCCGGGGCCAGCTCTCCCCAGCCCATTTCCTTTGATGTAGTGAAATTAGGCATCAAAAAAAAAAAAAAAAAAATCCATAAAAGCTTGTTGTGCAAGTTAAATTTCTGGAAGGGCAGAACATTTGTCCCGGTTAGCTGGTTTTTCTTCCCTTGTTTGGTCTTTGGAAGACTTTTAGCTCTGCCACCGACATACCCAGTTATCTGAACTACTGGATAGAATAAGTAGCTACTTGCTGTCCACAGCAAGGTACTTTATATAGAGCTCTCTCTGACTGGAGTTTCTGGAATTCAAACCCTGTCTTCCTTGCAGTGGCCCATCAAACGCACGCTCCTACAGGGCAGGGGTATCAAAAGGAATTTTTGGACAAATTAGTTACAGCGTTACCTTAAATTATTATGTTGCATTAAATTTTATAATGATTGTTTGGTTAAAAGTTAATGTCAGAGGAGAACTACTGTGGCGGGCTGTGTATTGTCATGGGTGAGAGCATGGGCTCCAAAGTCAGGCTGCCCTGAGATTGAGTCACTGCTCTACCACATACTGTGTGACCTTTGGCAGGTTACTTACTAAAATTCAGTTTCTTCATCTCTCATATGGAGGTGCTAATAGTTCATACCTCATGGGTAAACAATGCGTGTAAATCACTGAACATAGTTACAAGGCACGGAACTAGCTATCATTTATGAGCCCTGTCTTGATTAATGGAGTAAACCCTCAGATTAGCCAGAATGCAGACACATATTTCATCACATATCTCCCATATCTCAGTAGACTGGATCTACTTAAAGGATACAGAAGAAGGTTACCTAGGTTGGGATCCTCAGCTAGGAATTCAGCAGGATACATTTCTGGACCTTAGTACCCTCACTGGAGTGCACAGTAGCAGGTTATGACATCTGGAAATCCAGATTTTTCCCTTCTGGTCTACAGGAAGCAGTTTTGAATACAGGCTAGCCTGGAGTTATTTGGAGACCATTCCATGTACACCAGCCAAATACATATCATATAATCAGTTGTAAGAGTTACACAACAGATGGTATGATTAGAAAATTCAGTGTTAGGGGCGCCTGGGTGGCTCAGATGGTTAAGTGTCTGCCTTTAGCTCAGGTTATGATCCCAGGGTTCTGGGATGGAGCCCCACATCGGGCTCCTGGCTCAGCAGGGAACCTGCTTCTCCTTCTCCCCCTGCTCATGCTCTCTCTCTCTCTGTATCTCAAATGAATAAATAAAATCTTTAAAAAATAATAAAAAAATTTCAGTATTAGACTGTATACTCAGGCATAAATACATCATTAACTTATCACCCTTAGTGTTATGGTGCAGATAGAGCTCTTAACTTGGTGATAATGGAAAACTAAAACAGGTTAGTTGCCTAAATACCTCTGAGAGTCCCACTGACAGCATCTTAGACCTGAAGCCTATGTTGCAGCTAGGTTAGCTGTTGTTATAAATGAATTAATAACAAGAATTTATAATAGGTTATAAACTATTATCTCATTATAATACTCAATGAGAATTGAGCAAAACCTTAAAAAAGGAGAGAACTTGCCTTAAGATCTTAATCTTCTAAATCAGGGAATAAGGGCCCTTAAAAGAACAAGCACTCTCTTCTCCCTCACTTCTGAAAAAAGAATTCCACAGACATGGGACCCCTGAGGAAAGAAGATGGACAATATCGTTTAGAAATACACTTCTTTGTAGATAGTTAATATACAGTTTGGCTTTCTGATTATATAACATCTAGTTCCAAAATATGCCTCTGTTGTAATCCTGTAAAGCTCACAGATATCCTGAGTTCTTTATGTTACAAAAGCTTTTCCTAAGTGACAGAAAAAGAAGTTTTTCCAGGTCTTTGGCAAAGCTTAAGGCTCAAGGATCTGTCCTTGTGTGTGTATTTTTATGTGGGTGTGCGTGTGCCCTTTCTATACGTTTGCAAAGATTGGCTATCACAGCCGCATGTTTTGATTATGAGCCCTGCATCAAGTTGTGTTGTCAGCAGTGAGGAAGAACATTCATTGTAAAAATTCACTTTCTTTGTATCACCAGAAATCAGAATCAGGTGAAAGAAACAGGCTCAATGACAGTGAGACTTGCCCAGGGTCACACAGGTGGTAAATGGCAAAGCACAGCTCAAATCCAGGGCTTCTGGGCTTCTGGATTCACGTCCTGTGCCCTTGTTTGGCTTGGTTTGGTTTTTTACACCACACTGCTACATATATAGGACTTGTCTCTAGCTTTGCCCTCATTTTTGTGGTACTTCTAAATAATAATGTTAATATTTAATCTTCATAAAATCCCAGTGTGGAGGCACTTTGTCTTCATTTTGTAAATGGAGAAACTGAGTCCCAGAGAAGTAAATAGTTGGAACAAGTCACACAGTCTGGGAAATGGCTTAGCTAGAGTTTGAACCCAGTGGCCCATGCTCTTGGCTACTGAAGTGCTGCTCTACCCAACAGAATGAGCCTGGGCAGGAGGCATTGTCTGTTTGACTTCAGAGTATTTGTGTTTCATATGTTCTCAGCTATGCTTACATTTTACTGTCTTTAAAATTGTGGCCTTTAGGATCTGTAAAAGGAAAGAGTACGTATGGTTTGTCTCAAGACATAGATTGCTTTCTATACCAAGAAATCTCTAGCTCAGATTCCTTAAAAAATAAACAAAAAAAATTCTGCTATATTTTCAAAAAGAAGGGAAACTTCATAAACATTTTCCAAATACTATTTTTAAATGAGAAGATAAAATGATGTCGATTATGTGGAATCTAAGGATTCTGTCCCTGTCTAGAGTAAAAACTTGAGTACATCTTGATGTAGACAGTGTAACAGGTAAAGCAGTGTTGCATAATGCATTTGTCTTTTAGACTTCAAGGTTGCTCCACGGGAATCCTTCAACTCCGCTTATCCTCTCTGCTGCATTCCCACTACAACAGAGCACTTTCTCTCAGTCACATCACCAGCACCACCAGTCTCCGCAGCAGCAGCAGCTGAGTCGGCCCAGGACTGACAGTTTGACCGATCCTTCCAAGGTTCAACCACAGTAGCACACACGACTCCTCTCTCACCTCAGGGGAGGTAGGGGTTGTCCATAGCAGTTGCTCAGATGATCTGAGGCTAGAAGGAAACGTTCCAGCAGTTTCACAAGATGCAGTGCTGAGTGCTGTAGTTTCTGGAATTAGTTAGCAGGGAAAATGCTGCCTAGTGCTACAGATGTACCTGAAATACCAGCCAGCAGGAGATGATCACGGGGCCATAGTCAATTCTGACAGTGTTTTACTTGCCCAGCTATTTTTTCGATGGAAAGAGTATATTGCCAAATGTTAAGAAGCTCAGCTATGAAACATGGCCTCCAGTCAATCAGAAAGGCACTAACAATGTTAGTAACTTTTAGTGGTTCTGTGCCTGTTTTCAAGTGTTACAGAGGACACACCACTGTCATGTCAGGGGTGGCTTACAATGATGCCATGAAGACAGGGTCCGGTAGACCCAATAGGCCCCCTTCCCCATTCCCTCTCCCTTTTCAGATAATGATTGGATAGTAATTAATTTCAGAATGTTGTGTCGTTCAAATTCTCTATGTACAGATGCTGTAAAAAATTATGTATATGTCTAGATAAAAGGAGAGAGAGCAAAACATTTTGTAAGCTGCATGAAAGCATTATCTACTCCTAGGTGTATTTTCTTAGATTGACACCATGTGCAAACTAGTACGTTCTGTTTCCCCTTTTGTTTACAACACGGTAGTGTTCTACTCACTTTTCCGGGGCACAAGGCTTTTTGTTCATACTTTGGCTGTGATGTCACAGTTTGTTCAGTGAGGTATGATGTGCTGCTGGGAATGGATATTTTTTTCCAGGTTAAATTATTGAAGCAACAGGATTTTCAAGTTACTCAGAAATATCCCTCATTTCATTATTTTTCATTTATGTTTGAAAATAGGATTTGCACTGCTTTATTTTAGATGGTTGGAAGTTTTGGTCACATATTTTGATATAGTTCATAGTTGGGAATAGTTGTGTAAATGGCTTTCAATAAGCCTGAAAGTCATTTCAAGAATGTTCCAGTTATAGGAGTAAAATTTGCACACAAAAGATTTTAGGCACTTTTTAACATTCTCACTGGTGGGAATTTTAACTTTTAGGATTTGTTGGAATCTTTTTATTATCCTTCACAATTTCAATGCTTCTTTTAGTCAGAAATGATTCAGGGTTATTTGAGAGAAAAAAAAAAAACCCATAGTGCCTTGATTTTGATTCAGGTGATAACTCACCATCTTAAACTCATTTTCTGGTTTCAGTAGCAGTTTTGAAACCTTAGTACATTTTTAACAGCATGTGGGTGTCAGTGCCATTATGATTCTCCTAAGTTCCCAGGAAGACTACTTTGAGTCTCTTGGACTAGAGGTACAAGTAACTTAGGGAAAAAAAGGTGAGTGACATCCTAACACTATCAGAGTCATTGATGTGATCACAAAATTGTTTTCCTAAATCAACATCTTCCTTTCAAGCTAAACAGTCAGTTAAGAATTACCTGTAAATATTTTCTCAATATGATCTTGATATTCCTACAAAGAAAAAAGAAAGGGTAGGAATTGGCTTTGCCTTCACTATAACACTAGAATATTGTAACTCACATGCTTTCTGAACATGAACTAAGATTTCATTTGGCAATATTAGATTCTAAAGGTAATAAATTCCAACAGAAATTACATAAAACATTTTATAGATTTTTATGGTACTAATAAATAAATTTACAACTATAAAGCAAAGGAAAATTAATGGAAATACCTTATTAGAATATCAAAAATTATTACTGAGGAAAGGGAGGATAGCAAGCTGTAATATATCAAAATTGTCCTTAAAAGAAAATGTATAACAGAACTGAGGCTGTTACACAGAAGAAGGTTTTGAGCAATGAAAATAACCTACTACAGAATTGCTCTTAAGCTCAGTTCTTTAAGACTTTTCTGTCCTCCACTTTGCTCTCATCCCGAAGGGATATACTTTGTCTTTCTGTAGACAACTGTACTTGGCCACACTTAAATTAGAAAGTTATATTGAAAAAGAAAATAACCAAAGAAAGTTGGTACCTACCCTTCTACAAAAGAAGTGTCACTAGATACCAATCAATAATTAACATATCAAGAAGCTCCTCTTCTAGCTAAATGATCTGGATGAAGAGATTTCTGACTTTCTCATGAATGTCAAGAATAGTTGTCAGTGTGTGTGTGTAACTTGAGCATAGGTACACATAGATGAACTTGATGTTGTAGAATATGGCAACAGTATTAATTTTCTCCCCTTTCAAATTGCCTTTCTCAACCTTATGCCATTCCATATATATCTGAGTTGTGCCTCATTTGTTTACTGGCAATATCTAGTGGTATGGGTAGCAAGATACGAAGAACTGTTAGATTAAGATTTATCCTCTAAATAACCATACTTACACGGAAAGATGGTCAACTGTGAGTACTGTGTACTTAGGTTAACAAAGGCAAAGCATAAGACAAGCCACAAGGTAAATCTGTAGACTATTCACGGTCTCCTCTACCAGTTCCTTCAATATTTTCCATCCTTGTCAACATTTGGGAAGGAGAATTAGATAAAATGTTTTAGAATTCCTGTTGTTCCTCACAGCTCATTTTTGCCCTTAGAATGGATTGTCTAAAGGAACAGCCAGCTGCTTTCCCTCTGCTGTCAATAGGTGTTGTTGAAGAGCTAGTGAGCATCAGCCGCCTCAGCTCCTTCTGTTTTCCTCCTGCTTTCCTTGAACTTGGGTTGCAGAGCGGTTGCTTCCCTCCCCCGCACCCCCCATCATTGAGACTTGAGCGAACGTCTGATGAAGATTGGGCAGTCGCCTGTTCTTCATTTCTGTAGCCAAAGTTGTTCCTTAAAATCCCAAATCTGCGTAATGAAAAAATACCAACTGGAGACACCTTTCAGCTACTTAAAAGTCATTAGATTCTTCCCTCTGCTTTACTCTCAGAGAGATTCGATTTTTCTTAAAAACGTTTTATTCTGGGTGGCACTTTTTAGGTAAGAAACTGTTGAAGCCTTGGGGAAATGTTAGCTGCTCTGCAGTCACTCTGCTTTGGACAACTCAAGTGAGGACTGCGAGGATCAATCAGGTTGCTGCTAAGAGTGGTGTCAAACCAGAACCTAGACACTCAAAAAAGTTACTCCGATTTTTGGGTAGAATATATTGGAGAAAAAGCAAGTATGAGGGATGGGGATCGCACGTGAGCAAATACTACCTTTCAGTCTCCAAACTTTGTCCTAAGCTGAGGGGGTCATTTGCATCCCATGCTCTGCTTTGTCACTTAAATTTGGTTTAGGAATGTACTAGAAATAAGAGGATGCCAGTGACTTTGAATAGTTGGTTATAGAATACTCAGTGCAGAATAGTGAAAACGTGATTTGGATTTTTCCGAAGCACTAGAGTTTTTGGTCCTTGCCTTAAAGCGGTCTGCTTGCAGTTAGTTCAGGGTGTGGAGGAGTGCAGCCCTGTGCAGGGCATCGTGCTGAAGGGAGGGGAATCTTTGTTCGAGAAGCCTTAGAAAGGGGCCCCTTCAAGTAGTACTCTTTCTCTGGCTCCACACAGGTGAAAATTATTTTAAACTGGGTATTACTCAACTTGTTTTCTGATGTTTCCACTACAGTGAGGTAAACCTTTTTTTTTTTTTTAAGGTGGAATGCAAATAGCATTTTACTCTAGTATTGCTCATTTCTCCCTTTTTCTCTGGTTCTTTGCTGAGCGAAAGTTTGTTGGTGAACATTTGTGTAAAACTCATTCAAGTCTGTCTATAATCTTTCCAATATCTGTGACCCTACTCTTCGTCCCTTGGGAGTCGATGTTGTAAGGTATAAACACTGGATATTACTTTACTATTGCTGAGTGAGTCTAGCCAGGAGTAAGCGGATTGGAATTTCCAAATGGTGGAAAAGAGACAGCACAAAGGCACTTGCCATTTTATTAGCAATTGGAGAGAGAGACCCTTGTAAGTTTGTTTGGGTTGGGTGAGCATTCCTCTGAAAGGAGCTTCTGAAATAAATGCAAAGGAAAAGAGTCGACTATTTTTATAGCATATTTAATATATTTGTATATAACTATGAATATGTAGGAACCCTCCACATGCCTCCCACTTTTCTAATTTACTCCCCCTTCTGCCATAGCACTAGTAGGAGCCTCATCCGCATGGGTAACGTGCCTATTGCCAGCCTACCAAAAGATAGTGCTGCTTTCGGAGACAGGTGAGAGGACCCACCTCTCACGCCCGGGGATCCTTTCTGTAGGACAAGCACACACTCTTCAAATAACGTACCACAGTCTGAAAGCATCATTTTGAAATTAACAAGCACTTTATTGCAACTCTTCATTTTGATAAAGTTTATTATCTTAGGCATTACCATTTCTAAAGGATCCCCAAATCATCACTTAGGTGAAATTTAAAAATGACACATTTCTGAGAAATGTTTAGATCCAGTGAACCGTAGCAGGTTTATGGGAGTGATTTCAAGGTAGCCAAATGAATTTTGACTTTGGTTTTGAATGTGCTGGAGTCAGGAGATTGTAGATGCCTAGTTCCATTTCGACACTATTGTAAACCTATCTTGCCTATTGTGTGGACACCAAAAGAGACCAATGAGCCGGTTTATTTTCAGAGGTCTAGGAAAATTGCATCAGTGTGAATAGATGTATAGAACTAACCTAAAAGTGATTGGTAGTAATATTTTAGAATACGATAAAAATTTCAAGAATTATTCTGGGTGTTTTAAATGTGCTCTGAAATGTTGGCATGTCATTTCAGCGTTTCCATTTGAATTGCTCTTGTAATATTTTTGCACAAAAAGGACTGAGAAAAAGACTACTTCGGTTGAAGAAAAGTATAATTTGGTCTTATTTTAAATATGTCTCCTGTGGAAACACTGGGGATGCATTTTGTTGGTATAGTTATTAATTCAGGATATTTAAAGCAGTATTGAACAGCTCACAAGAAATTAAGCAAACGTGGACATTTAAAAATTAAAACTTTCTTTCCATGTGACTGTTTTTGCATATTTTTCCCCTTGTCGTAATTTAACACTACATTCCTTGTTTTTCGTAAATAAAATAATACTTTGCAGGTTCTGCTTTGAGTATTTAACAATATTTTGTAAGCTGACTGGGTTTTCCTAGGGAAACGGTCTTTAGTGAAATAGGATCTAGTTTATGAAGAGACTGTTTAAGTGGAATTCCATCACCACCACCAGCAAACACTGAGGTGCTGCATTAAGTGACAATCAAAATAGTGAGTATTTATGGAAGAATTCAGAAAGTGATTTTAAAGACGCAATTGCTTTGAAAGCAGTTCTCTGGATTTCTTGAATGAAAATGGCTAAATGTATTTATTTATATTTTAAAATATCTTTGTGTTGTTTTCTCATCAAAGTGATTTCACAGTGTCATGTATTTAATTTGTGGTTTTGTTTTGTTTTGCTTCGTAATCTTTTATGTAAAGAACTGACTCTTCTTATGTGGGGCGCAGTCTCAGGCCCTCATGAGGACTCTCCCTGGGCCAATCCAAATCTGTGTTACTTCAGGACGGCAGTGGAGGGCCCAAAGCCAGATGCCCTTGCACTTCCCGCCTGTTCTCAACTCAATTAAGAAAGAATAAAGGTAACTCCTTCTGAATCTGCTCTGAATAGCTCCAACCTTTTTCTAGTTTCACTTGCTGCCTTTTCTATTTTATGGGTACTTTTTATATGATTACTTCCCCAGCGCAGCCAAAGGCCAGTATGACACAACCGATGGCACACGGTGCCTGTGTTTGGCCCGTTTGGGGAAATGTCAGTAAGACGATCAGCATCTTCTCATGGCCATCACCATCATGTCCATATTACAGTCCATTAGAAGTCCTTAAATATAGGTGGAACAATGTATGTGCACTGTATTCTTCTAACAAAAAATGTTGGCCGTTTTTATGTAGTGACTGTTGCTTGGTCCTTTAAAAACAAAAATCCTTCATACACGGCACTGTCCACTGGAAGTGGTGTTTGAGCATTTGAAGCCTAGAAATTCGGAGGCTGTTTCTTCCCTAGTGTGCATTGGAACACAGTGCTCCATGTTAGGGCTCCCCGAGTGGAGGGGCAGGGTACCCTGTCTAGCTTTTGGGACCCCTTCAAGAATGGTAATGAAAGCAAGTCAACCACAAGTTGGATTTAATCGAGGTAAAACGTGTTAACTCTGAGGGTCACATTGAAAATGTGTTTTCAAATGTATGCTTTTAAATTTCTGAGGAAACAAACTGTGACATCGCTTTAAAAATGACGTCCAGATACTGTGTGTGTTGAGTCGGTCTGTACTGTGCAGATTCACTGCTGGCAGTGGCTGCGCCAGTGCCGAAGAGTTAAAATGGAGGGAAAGCTAGATTGGCCGTCGACTGACGCATTATGTAACTAGACAATCAAGCAAAACCAGGTGGCCAGGAAATGTCCTTTTTTTTTTTCCCTTCATGTCAGCCAGAACAGCTGTAATTCTTAGACCATTCTAGAATGATTCTGAAATCTCGTTTACTAGGGCGTAAGTTGGGGAAGGGCCTCAGTATAGCACTTGCTGACATTCACTCTATGTAGAGATTGAAGCCCAAAGATGAGTCACATTCAGTGCTGTATTGAAACCAGTTAGTGCAAAAAAAGTTTTATCTTTGTCAATTTATGTTAACATCAGTTATTAGCTGTAAAAACATACACCAAATTCTTCCTAGTGTTCTGTGTGGTTTCTTGGTGTGCTACTCTTGACATTGCTGTCCTTCCTGCTTGGCTCTTGGTTTCAAGTAAAAATTAGATGTAGCCCATTGTTCTTCACTTCCAAAAGGGTAGAGCTATAAATGGCTAAGATCTTAAGAACACCTACTTTCCTAAAGCAAACATTTAACTGAAATCCAAAGTGATTTACAAAAATGAGACTGACATTTCCTAGGTATTGTTTTCTGCCCAAATCCTAAATTGCACAGAAGCACGAGGGGATAATGAATGGTTTCCATGGTGCTACATTAGGTTCTCTGATGATTTTTATGAGTTATGTTTGGAAGTACAATATTATATAAAATGTGAATCATTCTGTTACCAACTTAACTATTGATTGCCACTTCAATTTGGTGTTACAATTGGTTACACTTGTTTTTCAGAGCTGTCCTTTGAGAAGAGGTAAATGTTTTATTAGCCTACCTCCACTCAGGCCTCTTGGTGTATGATCATTTCTCCAGGTTATGATGTGCACAGTTTTTAAAAACTACATGTACTATAATTATAATGCTCTTTCCCATAGACTTTTGTAATTGTATTCAGAACCTAAAATCATAGCAGAAGAGCCAAGCAGTAGCATTGGTGGTTTTTTTCTTTTGTAAATGTAAAATTAGATCCAGACTTTGTTTCCTTATTCAACTTTAAAAATAAAAAAAATACCTCAGTGCTATGTTTTTCGGTATCACCTGCATTTCTCAAAAAATAACACCTGCTTTATGTGGCACATGACTTGTAAGAATCACATTATTTTGGATTTTAAAGGAAGACTATTAAATATTTTAAAATCAATAACAATGACATTTTCTTTTCTTTTATTCAGCAATGGAGTCTAACAGTATTAGCGGTTTTTACCTTGTAGCTTCAAGTCTGAGCTACCAAATTCTGTGAGTAGTTCTGTCCTGATACAAGATTGTGGTGCCTCAGAAAGCTCTGCTGCTACTCAAGTATCAGCTCGTTCTTGGGCCAGGCCGTCTGCACTGCTGAGTCCGGGCTGTGATGGGACCAGCTACTTTCGTAACAAGGCATTATCCTCTCTGTTCTTGCAAAAGATGTAATTGTTGGCTCTCTATTAGGGGAGTAATGGTGTAGTCTGGGGTCTTAGCCTGAAATTTCTCTGAAGTGTTTTATTTTCACACGTGGGCATTGTATTTACTGCCCTGTAACTGCACTTGTTATGGTGGCTAGAGAACTCCTTAAAAGTTTCCCAAAATGACTTTTTCGTCAATATGTGCTGTTGCTACTTTTAAGAGAGTCTTAAATAGAATTACTGCACATGGGAACAGAACATAGCAGGCTGGGAGAAGCAGTGATGCTGTTTGGATAAAACAGTTGAATAGACAGGACCGTGATTACTGAAGTTAGTGTGATAAAATGAGGTAGCTTATTATGATCGGTGGTCACGGGTTCTAGAATGAAACTGTGTGGTTTGATGCACTGCTCTACCATAACACTTTTTTTTTTTAAACCTTGTTAGTACCTACTGTGTTCCAGAGCCGTCTGAGGGTTAAAGTAAGACAGGCTTTAGAAGATGCCTGGCTCCTGTTTTTTAACATCAACTTTAGAAACTGGTCTATAAATATTACTACTACTTTGGTAAATTATTGTTACAAACTCACTTATAAAATGCACAAGGGAAAACAAGCTCTGGTCATACCACTTTTATTTACACTATATCTATGTTACATGGTTTCTTCAATATAGAAAAAATATGAATACACTCATAGTATTCTCTTTTAATTTAGTAATTCCACATTGTCAAATATTGACTGTTTTTATATTGGGTTTCTTACCCAATTTAAAAAAAAAAAAAGGGAGGGAGAACGGACCTGGCAAACAATTCTCATCATGTTATAACAGTAATACATTATTCTTTAAAAAAAAAATTTTTTTTAAAGACTTGTGATTACACTGCTTTCTGGCTTAATATTTTAAGAGCTAAAAATTCATTCCTCCCCCAAGAAAAATTTTAAGGCAAATCCAGGAGAAAATCTATCTTCCTCATTAAAGAGGTCAGTGCTGAAAGAAAATCAAGGCTAGACCCCACTGTACAGTGGTTCTATGTATATACCCTCTCCCACCAAAAAGACCCCACAAATACTAAAAGAAAAAAACAGTGATCACACTAACATAATTGTGCTGGAGAAAAGAAAAATCCACACTTGGATATCAGGTTTCTTTTAAAAATCCATGTTGCAAAAGAATAAATGATTATTTCTTCTGGACATAATACTTTCATTATGGGTCAAACTCGCAAATCAATGCTACAAAATACAGTCTTTTCTGTCACTTTTAGTTACAATGTACACTATGTATATATAAACACAAGAGTTACCTATCTTAACGAAATACAAATGAGCAAACGGCTTGTTAAAAACCAGAATCGGGACTTATAAACAGTGCAGAAAATGCAAACGCCAAAAATACGATGCCTCCTATGATTGTCACTGTAAGAGAAGAGAAAAAAAGTGAAATAAGGCAAACTTCCTCTATGAGGGAGCGAAGAGACTGCCCATTATTCTTCCAATCTGGTGAACTAACCTTGAAAAGAAATTAGAAACACTCAAACCCCTCTTCCACAGCAAAGAATACTTAATACACTTGACTGTACAGTAATAATCCACGGCTTCTCCAGCGCTATTTCAAGAAATGACAGAATTATATTAAAATTGAGACCGTGCTGACAAGCAACAATAGAACTGTAACTCCTCTTAAAACCCAGTTATTAAAAAGAATGTTCAACAGCCTCTGACAAGAGACTTTTTTATTCCATTTTTAGGCCCTCCCAGCTACACAGGAAATTTTCAGTGGAATCCATAAACGGTCTCCACCTACAGATCCCCATCTTACAAAACGCACTTTTAAGGCCAGAAATTTTATTTCCAACGTGATGATTTTTTTTACTTAAATACATTGATAAAAAGCGACTATAAATCCAGCACGGCTTTTAGATGAATTTGTATTTTACTAACATCTGTGCATGTGAGAAACAGTCCATGTTTGCAATAGCAGCAGCAATGAACTAGACCTCTAAGAGATCATTGCAGAGACCGAGTGTACTCCAGAAGTAAAAACTTAGAACGAACTCCCCTTTCTCTAATGTCTTAGTAATTCTCGAAGTTGAAACAAATGGTATTTTCTTTGTAATTTAAAAAATAAAAGGGGTGCCTGGATGGCTCTGTCAGTTAAGCATCTGATTCTTGAACTCAGCTCACCTCTTGATCTCAGGGTGAGTTCAAGCCCTGACTTGGGCTCCATGCTGGGTGTGGAGCCTACTTAAAAAGAAATAATAATGAAATTTTTAAAAAAGAAAAAAACCCCGAAGACTTACCAGTTCTGACAGAGATTTTTTGTGCGATCATTCTTCCTCCAATCACTGCCAATCCAGTGCATAAGCAGTGGCCCACTGTCCCACCCACTGCTACACCATACGGGTCCTGGAAGCAAGCATAGCTAACGTTAATTTAAAAGCAGTTAAAACAGTTCCCTGAGAACTGATAGTCACTGAAAATGGAGATCAACGACAACAAAGCCTTAAACCGGTTCTAAAAATTCAAGTGTATAATTTATGAAAAGTTAATAGCTGCTTGAAGGAATATGCTCCAGTTATATCTAGGAACAGAGCTAAAAGTAGCAGAAACATTTCTCAGATCAAAATAACCCTCATACAGCCTTTCAGCAGTTGTCACGCTTCAGTCACAGGTGATATTTAGCTCTCAAGTGACAAGTGCTTTTGAGACTCCACCTAGACATCTCTTCCCTCAGGTAGTGCCTGCTATTCTGGGGAAACGAGGCAAGTCTTGACTCTACAGATCCTGCCTGCCTTCTTCTCCACTGTGTCCTCGGTGCTTTTACTCAGTGCCAGGAACACAGTATTCATTCGGTAAATGCTTGCTACCAGCACAAAGTGGTGGAGGTGCTCGGATTGGGAAGACCAGTGAAAGTTTTCCAGAAAAGAAAGCCCTGAAGAACGGGCAGGAAGACTGGACTTTGTTTTGTGGAGGAGAGAACATACTAGAAGGCAACAGGCCACCAATAAGAGACAACTACAGAATATGTTAACATAGAACATAAAACGTAACATGGTTAGAGGTCAGCTCATAAAGGACCCTATATATAAGCTTAGAATTTAGACTTTCAGACACTGGCTGGTTTTTAGCTGGAGAGTCACAGAACAGGTTTATGCTTTAAAAGTCTAGTACAGAGAATGAACTGGAAGGAAACAAAATTAAAGGCAAGGTGGTCAATGGGAGAAGCTATTGCCTGGACTGGGGTGGGAGACTGGAAGCAGAGAAAAGCAGGTAGATTTGGGCAATTAAGGAGGCATAATCGATATACCTTAGTGACAAGTTCGAGTATTAGGTGTTAAGGAAGAGAAAAATCAGGCATGACATCCGTATTTCTCACCCATAATTCTCTGGATGAATTATAATACCATGACTTAAAAAGTTAGTGGAAGGAGTGAAGAAAGGGTTTATGGGTGCTGACAGGAGTTGAAAGTGGACAAGTTCAGGAGTCAGTTGAGTTCAGTGGTGAGTAAACTGTGGGACTGAAGAGAATGACCCTGAGAGAAAATGCAGATGGAGGAAAGCAACACCGAAGGGATGAGAGAGGCAGAGGAGCCCCCGAGAAGGCGGCGGAGGCGGCCAGGCGAGGAGCCCCCCCCCGCCCCCCCCAGATGAGCGCCGTGGGGCCAGTTGGCGGTGGCGGCGGGGAACTCACAGCCCCACGTCAGCAGTTCGGTGAGGCTGGAAACTAGGGCCAGCGGGTGTAGAGAGCAAAAAAACGGACCAACTCCCGTTCCCCATCAGAGCCAAGGCCCTTGAGTCGGGGGAGGGGAGGCAGAGGGTGGCGTCTGAAAGAGAAGTGGGATTGAGGGAGGGGGGAAAACTCTTAGATGGGGAAAACTCATGCATGTGAAAATGCTCCCAAAACCGCCCTGGGAGAAAGGCGAAGATGTAAGCGACCGAGTGGGGACACGGAGGGGCGGGGATCAGAAATGCAGCAGGGACAGCACTGCCGTTGGGGGGGACGGGGCAAGGAGGAGAGGCGGACCCTGCTGCCCTGTGAAGGGGTGGGGTGGGCAGGGGCGGCGGGGTGGACCGCGCCGCTCAGACTCTGCGAGTTCTCACTTCCAAGCTGGCATCCTGGGAGGTGGGGCCATTCTACTGCAAAGTGACGCTTCAAGAATCACTGGATCAAGTACAATTCAATAGTTCCTTTAAGACAGAAGTTTTCAGTCTTTGTTATTTGCAAAATTTATTTGACCCTGGAACCTCATCCCCCACTTTTTTTTTTTTTTTGCTTAGTACCTAATTAACATCTTCTAAGGACATGGTGTTGAAAGCAGAAATAAACTTCAGACTAAAATAAACTGAACTGCATTCCAGCATGGTTTATATAAAAAATTACCAAAAAAAGTTAGGAACATTAAGGGAACAAAAACAGACCACCCCTATTTCTGCCCCTGAAGAGCTCACTACCATCCCCACGGTGCTGGGGGGAACCTACGCACATTCTCTGCTTCATCCACACAACCACCCCATGAAGTAGCTAAACGCCCCATCTTCAGACGAAACAGGGTGCAGTAATCTGGTCACACAGCAGAAGACTCGAGCTTGGTCAGCACACGCCACGCTGCCAGAATGTGGCGGCACCGAGGGAGCGCACGGGGACAGCGGACCCGGACCTTTCCCAAGTCCCTCTGTGCCACACAGATGACGCTATTAAGGAAAATGCAGCCATTTCTACCGTCTTAACAGCTCACTCTGGCGGAACCACCCCCACCATCACCATCACCACCAAAAGGTCGCTTACTTTCAAGTCCCAATCCTGGCAATCTGAAAGCCAATAAAGAAGGCTAGAAATCAAGAAAAATATAAGGCACAGCCATTACGGTGACATTTTCCAAGAAAGTTTTAAAATGCAGGATTCGACAGGTCCCCGGTAGCTGGGGCACCTGGGTGGCTCAGTCGTTAAGCGTCTGCCTTCGGCTCGGGTCGTGGTCCCAGGGTCCTGGGATCGAGCCCCGCATTGGGCTCCCTGCTCCGCGGGGAGCCTGCTTCTCCCTCTCCCACTCCCCCTGCTTGTTCCCTCTCTCGCTGTGTCTCTCTCTGTCAAATAAAATAAATAATCTTTAAAAAAATAAAATAAAATGCAAGATTCGAGTGAAAAACGGAGTTCTACTTTTTTTTTTTTAATACAGCATTTTTTATGTTTCTCTGATGAAACCGCCCTGTCCTGGCCTTCAGCTCTTGTTTGAAACTGGGGCCTACGTTAAGGAACTTGTCTCCTTAGGAGCTAAGGACACATTCAACTCAAGCTTGTTCTCTAAATCCTACCACTGGATAAAAACAGTGCAATTGAACAGATACAAAAAAAGACGCGGTATCAGCTAAGATCAAGGAGAGCCTGAGAAGTTGCAGCACTGCTTTCCACAGCCGCCGCCTCAGTAAGTCGTAGTAAGCCCGTGTGAACGGTAAGACACCTCAGGAGAAACTAATCCCTCCGAAAAGGAAGATGAAGATTTTAAAAACAACCCCCCCAAGCTATCTTTTAAATTAAGTGGCATTTGGCAACTACAAGATATAGAAGAAAATGCTAGAAGGCAGAGCGCCTTAGCTTCTAGTCCTTGCCCCTGCTACCAACTAGCTGATCTTTGGACAAGTCGCCCAGTGTCTGCGCCTCAGGTTCTGTATCTTTAGAGCAAAGGTGCAGACAAAGTGAGCAGAAATCTCTTCTAGCTTACCACCATTCTAGGCCTCAGTATTCAGGGTCTAAGAGCAGCGAAACTGTATATCAGAAGCAAGTCAACTGTAACTGCACTACCCAGAGATAAGCACTGTGAACGTTTCAATTTCCTGAAGTTTTATGTTTGCCGAGAAGCGACTATTCCCACACTACACAGAAATTTGTAAATAAATGAACTAATTTCTCCACACTGGACAGTTAGGCTGTTGTTAATTTTCCACTGAATGTTATTTTGTAAAGTAACCCCCTACAACACTAAAGTTCTAAGGAAAGACAAAACCAAGTCAAGACGACTGCCACGGTTATCAGTTCGGCAAAACTGAAGGGAAGAGGAGTCAACAAGAGAAATCTAAAGACGCCAATTCAGTTGGGACACAGAATGCCATCTGACCACAGGAGCTGGAGATGGGCCATTTTAAAGAGAATCAGGATCATTAGTCTAAAATAATCCAGCATGTGCAGCAGTCCCTTGGCCCAGACGGACTGTCCTCTGGAGTCCTCTGGAGCAAAGTAACATTGTTATGCTTAGTTTTACCATTAATACAGAAGCCACTGTTTCTCAAGTATCACTCACCTCTCTAGCTGCCAAAACAATTGTAGTTAGTTGTGAGCGATCACCCCATTCTGCTAAGAATGTTAATGTAAGAGCCTGAACAAAGATGGGTGAGATAAAATGCAGCCATCTTTTCTGAGGTATCGTCGTGCTTGCACCCGTTTCAACATCTCCTGGTCCATTTAAGAGTTTGGTTCTTTGAAACTAAATTTTTAAAAAAAAGGGAGAGAGAGAGAGACATTAATCCCAAGAAGCAAATCAAAATAGTATCAAAATTACTTAACCTTTGAGAAAGTGTTTAAATTTTATGGAATATGCTGAAACTAAAATTACGTGACCCCAAACTTTTCTTTTGAACCACTCTCACACAACAAACACTATATTCTCAATTCTTCCATTCCTCCGCAACAAAATCAATCTTTACTGCTCCCTTACTATCCTAAATGCTGTGGCAAGAAACGTAAAATACAAAGTACAGTTCCTGCTTTGCGGGAACTTATAATCACCGAGGAGCCTGATCACGGCTCTAAGAATGCAAACCAGGCACAACAAGCTATTCTTGCGTGGCCCACACATCTCACCCGGATAGGGCTGGCCACCGAAGAATCTGTGCATAGTGTTGATTCTTAGTTGAGTGCTTTTTTGGTCCAGATATTTAATACTGCCATGACTTACTTCTTCATCTTTTTTCTTTAATTCCGCTTGCACTTCTTCCAGTTCCTCTTGACCTTCATCTGGACTCATCTTTAAGCCTTCTCGAAGCATTCTAATGCCAAAAATGGCAAATAATGCAGTTGAAACATAGTATGTATACACCCTGGGGATGACTGTGGTGGCATAGCCAAACAAAACTGGAAGAAAATGCAACAGCACGCCCAGTTAGTTAGCAGGCACCGCAACTAACCCACAGAACAGTTAACTTTGGAAATCCTAATTTAACACTGTTCTGGGGCGCCTGGGTGGCTCAGTCGGTTGAGCAGCCGGCTCTTAAATTCCGCCCAGGTCATGATCTCGGGGTCCTGGAATCAAGCCCTGTGTCTGGCTCCGTGCTCAGCACGGAGTCTGCTTCAGATTCTCTGTCTCCCTCTCCCCCCGCTCCTCCCCCACTCACACGCACTCGCTCGCTCTAATAAATCTTAAAAAAAAAAAAACCACATTGTTCTAAAGGAAAAATGGTTCACGTAAGAAGCCGATCTAATACATATTAAACCTTAAATAATTCCACTACTTTCCCTCCGCCAATTTCAGACCCTGAGATCAAGCCAGGGGCCTAACATCATGAGATCAGTGGTGCAGCTGAAGACAGCATGTGTTCCCCGGGGAGAGAACGAACTCCTCTGTGGCCACAGCCAGGGGCTGGCTCGCCACATGTCCCGTGGGGCACAGTACTTTAGGGAGGAACTTAACGATGATGCCCTCTAAGGATCCTGACATCTTATACCACTTTCATATGTAAGTGATATTTCTTCATCACAGATCTTTAAATTATAAACTTCTATAGTGAAGAATCATGACAAGATTCTCCAGGAGAGGTAGGATTCAAACTCTGCTCCTTTTTAACTACTTCAAGTAAGTATATCTTAGTATATGTGCTGCCGAAGCGAGCACCAAGTAAGTATATCTTATAAAAGAAACTAATTCCTACATATATTAAAATAACATTTACAATAGACTCAAATTTATTCAGTACCATTCTTTCCTATCATTAAAAAAAGAGGACAACTGTATTAAGTTAAACAAAAAACTATATTTGGAACCCTATCAAGGACCCAAATCCTAACTGTGAAACACAATTATACCAGTATTATCAGTTCAGTATTTAAAACTTCAAACTATGGAAAGGCCAGAGGACGTTCCATATACATAATAAATGCAATTACTCCACTTCACATGCTCTTTTTATGAGTACAACACTTAAAATCTGCCTGATCAAATGTATAACCATTATCTGCCTGAACATCAAATGTGTAACCACATCGAATGTATTCCCAGTTCGCTACATTACAAAATTGAAGATTTTAAAATCATGTTTAGAAAGACATCAAATCTGTTTATGTGTACATGTTTTAATTATACATATGAATATGTGTATCTGCATGTATGTGTGTGCACACACACGATACGGAGATTTTCTGCTCTATCCACTGAAAAGGCCACGAAGCAAAGACATCTCTGTAACGAGCCCACTTTACATGCAGATCTTGGTTTCTGACCGCATTCTCCCGAAAAGGCTCCTCAGGAAAACCGCTAACTCCAGGGCTCGGCAGACGGGGCACAAGATGCACCTGCCCTATACTGTTAGACTGGAAAGTTAGCAAGAGCATAAAGAATGATGGGAGCATGACACAAGGACTAGGAGCCAGCTTGCAGGGGCTCCCACCAGCCGAATCTGGGACAATTTAAGCAACAGAGTTAAGTAATTAAAACCTACTGAAAAAATGAATTCCCCAATTTATACTGACAGCACATAGACAAGCCCAGGGGATGGGAAGGAGCTCTTTGTTAGCGCAGTGGGCTGGGGCCCCAGAACCAGCAAACCATCGCTCTGCAGGCATCAAGGGAGCACTGAGATCCTGTGAGAATCATCCACTTCCAAGCGGGCACAGAGTAGCTGTACTGTCTTACAGCGTCTCCGTAAAGACTGCGTATTATTTGCAGAGAAAAAGACCATACACAAGAGAAATCTTGACATCAGTGAGGGACAGATGGACATCATGTTCTTCCAGATGTGACCCTCTCAGAGGGACAAACACCACCAAGGCCGTATTCTGGTCAAGAAGGCACAGACTTAATCTAATCACAAGAAAACAGCAAACCGACACAAGATGAGGATCAATCCCTTAAAGGCTGTATTCTTTTTTTTTTTTTTTTTTTTTTTTTAAAGATTTTATTCATTTATTTGACAGAGAAAGACACAGTGAGAGAGGGAACAGAAGCAGGGGGAGTGGGAGAGGGAGAAGCAGGCTTCCCACCGAGCAGGGAGCCCGATGCGGGACTCGATCCCGGGACTCCAGGATCATGACCTGAGCCGAAGGCAGTCGCTTAACCAACTGAGCCACCCAGGCGCCCAAGGCTGTATTCTTTAAAAAAAAAATGTTAACATTGTAAAATACGAGAAAAGGCTGTGGAAGTATTTCAGATTAAAAGACTAAAAAGAACCAAATCTAATACCTGACCTAGGCTTGCTCCTCTATAGGAGGGGATGCTGCTAGAGAGCATGTCAGGTCGCCTGACACAAAATAAGGATGGCAAAGCACGTATCACTCTGTCCATGTATATATATATATATATATATATATGAGTTATGTGTATTTGTACATACTTTACGTATCTACAGATATAGCATGTATATGTCACATCTACACACCTACAAATCATGTATGTACATACACAGGCATCATTTTGTTTAGATAGGGACAGGTCACAAACGCTAAAGCAAATAAGGTAAAATGGTAACAGGGAATCTAAATAAAAAGGTATATAGGTGTTCTTTGTACTGTTTTATTTTTGCAACTTTGTGAATTTAAAATATTCTCCATAAAAGTTTTAAATTTTAAAATGGAATGTAGCAAGCCTCTTTAAAAATCTCCTAAACTCATGGGGGCGCCTGGGTGGCTCAGTTGGTTAAAAATCTCCTAAACTCAGTTTTCCTTCTATCTTCAGATAATCTAAAAAACCAACCAACCAACCTTGATACTTACGGACCCTTACACTGCCATCTTTTCTGCCTGACCTCTCCAGAGAGAGCAAAAAACTACCTGGCATTATAACTTTTCTTCCTCTGGTTACTGTCCCTCTATTTCCTCTTTCTTGGAAACTTTCCCTCAGACACTCAAGCACTTTTGCTCTGGGAAGAGTGAGCCATTACTTCTCTTTATAAAAGCAAGGACTTTGCAACAACTCAGAACAAGTTATGTCCTGGTCCTTCTACATCTTGGCAATGGAGAAGTTGCAAGAAAAATCACCTGGAGTGAATGAAGATAGAGATTTGGGACCCACTGAATTTCAGGTAATTAAACTGAGAACACTCCGCACAGGGACATCAGTGTGAAGGGGGGAAAATGGGCCAAGAAAGAATAAAACTGTGGGGAATATGAATATTCAATGGCACAAAATTTTTTCCCCAGAGAGAACTATAAACACAGGGCGTCACAGAAGCCAAGAGAATAAAAAGGTGGGAATGCCCAGGAATGTGGTGTGAGGGGGGCTCACGGAAATGAAAACTGAACTCTAATCAGGAAAGCTGATTACTGAAGCCTTTCCAAAGGTGTCAGAGCAGAAATCAGACTACAAGTGGGTAAGGCGGAAAATGGGAGAAAGGCAGTAAGGAGGAAGAGCGGCAGTAATCAAACTCTGAAGCACACGGGATGATCACCCCTGCTGCGGGACGGCCCAGAAAGGCTAGGTGAACCCACCACCCACAGCGAAGGGAGGGGCCTGCCTAACCTACTGAGCCCTCCGCTCGGGGCGTCTGAAGGGTAAGACTTCCAAGTGTACAGTCTCCAAACTGGGGCTCTGGTGCTCCCAGGGATATAAGGACTTCACAAGGGGACATGGATGAATACTTCATAAAGGAATTTCCCGAAGTTCCACTTGTCTTTCCTAAAACTCCTCTTCCTGAAATGTACTTGTGGTTAAGGAGTCAGTCAGGCTCCCCTTTCTCACATCCCTCCTTCGCTTGCCTTTTGTCCCCTTTACAAGGATGCCTTTTACCCAGCTTTCTCTGGTGCATTTCCCCACAGTATGGAAAAATATATATCCTCGGGCAGCAAAGAGGGGGTCTAAAATCCTGGGGTCCTCGATCAAGGCATCATAAAGCAGACACGGGGCTTTGGGGCTTCCCTGTCTTATGCAAGCTGCTGGTAAGGTCATGACATCAGATATAATGGCATTATGTTTGTTGGAACCGATGCTCATGGCATTAGAAATAGGGTGTTTGGGCCTTGGCAGGAATGACAGTTTTCACCGAGAAATCGTGCCTCTTTCGTCCCCCAACCGGTGTAAATGAAGGCGTTTTCCCTAAGGCAGAGTCTTGTTACAAAAAGCAAAGAAAGCCTCAGAAGGCAACACTAAAGCCCATGGGGTCTTCTCTCGCCCTGGTGGCACTCTCAAGGCTGGCTCCCTCGCCTAATCCAGCCCCCCGGCATCCATTTTAGAAGGATTATAAAGCAGATGGTTGTCATTATATCCCGTTCATTTCAATTCAGAAACCAAGTCAAATGATTTCGGACAGAAAGCAAGCCTGGCTTGGATGATTTACTGTGGGCCTACTAGAACTGCTATGGCAGTTAGGTCAGGTGGTAGACAGTTCCCATAAACCGAACAAGCCAAATCTGCAGCTCCAAGGCACTGGCAAAAATGTATTCAAAATATGTGATGTGATACAGTTTTTAAACAAAATCCCTTATTGGCAAAAGTACACTGAAACGAACAGTATTTCTCAATCATTTTTAAATACAGCCAGTTAAACAAGGTACTTCTAAGTAAAAGACTAACATGCACAAGAACAGCCATTTGATAAATTTCAGAGAAACTCTTTTTGGTATACTTGATGGTTTCTAATCCTCTGCTTTCAACAAAACTGACAGCAGTATTTCAAATCTTATTTAGCAGTATTGTCAGCTGGTAAAGCATTAAAAAATATTTCTGATAACAGACTAGTATATAATTTTTAGCCTAAAACTCAGGAGTCCAATGAACGGAGTATGATTATAACAAAATTCCTTACTATCTACTTATTTATGTGAATAAAATTTCTCCGCCTTGACCTCTCTATTAAAAAAAAAATAAAGATTAGAGTTGAGGCTAAACCTTACTTCCTTCGCTCAATAAAACTATTGGTCACGGACATATAAACTAATTTTAAAAGAATAGTTCTGGGGTGCCTGGGTGGCTCAGTTGGTTAAGCGGCTGCCTTCGGCTCAGGTCATGATCCCAGGGTCCTGGGATCGAGCCCCGCATCGGGCTCCCTGCTCGGCGGGGAGCCTGCTTCTCCCTCTCCCTCTGCCTGCCTCTCTGCCTACTTGTTCTCTCTTTCCATCTCTCTGTCAAATAAATAAATAAAATCTTTAAAAAAAAAAAAAAAAAAAGAATAGTTCTGGGGCGGCCTGGGTGGCTCAGTCGGTTAAGCATCTGACTCTGGATCTCAGCTCAGGTCGTGGTCTCAGGTGGAGGTCAAACCCCCCACACTGGGCATGGAGCCTACTTAAAAACAAATAAACACTTCTATCATTTCATTAAGAGATGCATATCCAAACTTTGAAAAAATGGTTTAGGTAGTGTGATATATTAGCTAAATATAAGTAATATAAATGTATTTAGCTTGTGATACATTTTGCTTTTAATCAACTGTGTACTATTAATAACTATAACTTAAATCTATAAAAAATATTACATTTGGAGACTTAACAAAGGAAACCGTCAGTCTCTTTTAAAATTCAATTTATGGGGGCACCTGGGTGACTCAGTCATTTAAGCCTCTGACAAGATCTTGATTTCTGCTCAGGTCGTGATCTCAGGGTTGTGAGATGGAGCCCCATGTCAGGCTCCACCCTCGGCGGGGAGTCTGCTTGAAATTCTCTCTTCCCTCTCCCTCCCCTTCCCCCTGCATGTGCACACACTCTCTCTAAAATAACTAAATCTTTAAAAAAAATTTCAATTTATATGCATATTTGTGCTGCAGATAAATGACAGTGTTGAACGAGCTAAATCTGAACGAGCGAAATCCATGAAAGATTTTGAAGCAGAAAGTTATAATCATTAGGGTAAAATTCTAGGAGGAAAGTAAGAATTAAAGGGGAAAAAACAATGTCAATGTCCAAATGTTAAGAGTTTGTCCAGGTATTTTTAAAGGAATGAAGGTGACAGTGGGTTATCAAACTGCTAATGGTATTTAGATCCCATTTGACTTATTTTAAAAGAATACCTTAACAGTTTTATTTTATACAATATAGCAGAAACTAGACCTTTGCAACTCCTTAAACTTACGGTGACAACTTTTCGACAACTTCCATGTGAGCGGGGGTACAGAGTTTCTCCAAGTGGTTCTGGATACCCAAGGAAAAGGCGTGCAGACCCCTGCTGGAGCCCGTTCCCCACAGCAGCGGTGGGCGGTGCGGCCAGCAGGGCAGCGGGCAGCAGGCGGGCCTGGGCCGGGGACTCAGCCGGCCCCCAACTGATCGTGTGGAAGAGGTGGGGGAACCCCTGGCACCGGGTTCTGAGGGGGGAACGGGCAGAAAGGCCAGTTTTCCAGTTACCCGCAAAGCCAGAAGTTTCAAAACTAAAATCCTCTGGTATTATTCAAACTCATTCTAAACACATGATTTCACCAACAACCCACTCCACTTTTCCTATTTCCTATATCAAAATTTGCTTTTGAAGAAAAAATTATGTTATTAGGAAATATGAATGATGCTAAAACTAACTTCTAAAATGTGGAAAGTCGTCTGATTATTTTAATCAGTAAACTGTTCATTTATAATAGGTTTAAAACGACGTAAACTCTAACAGGCGTCCAAGCAGCCCAAACCAGAACCTGCTCCGTACCTGAAGAACCAGCTTGCCTGAGAGGTGGGAGAGGCGCAGAGGGCTGAAGGACCGAGCACCTGAAACATTTAACACAGACCGCAACCCGACGAGGGACATAGGCATTATCGTCTGTCTCCAGTCCACACAGATGGGGACACTGAGGCTGGCAGGTTAAGGAACTAATCAGTAGGCCAGGTTCCCACCCCCGTCTGACTCTCAGGGGAAAGCTCAGTCTTCCACCCAGCTAGGCGGCTTGGGGTGGCTTCTGAACCAGAGGCTCAGCTATGCCTCATTATTCAGTATTAAGTTTCCTTTCTCATGGTCTAATTCTCAAACTGAAGCCTTTGCAATAGTAACACAAACTGGGAATCTAAGAACATTTCATCCCATTATAATGGGTAAGAACATCTTAATCAAACACAACAAACTGAAAGTGACTCTTCAGTTACTTGATTACCAAATGTCCTTCAAAAGTTACTGTCCACCACGTCCTTCAAGTGTCCTTCAATCGATAATCCTCTGTTGTGACTTGAGTCCTATTTCTAAGAGATCAGATTAGAAGCTTATCTGGACTGAAAAGAAAAAAAGGCAAGGGTATACACAGCCAAACCAAGGATAAAAAACTAGTGAATCAATGACGAGTGTGGATCTTGGCTGTGAATCGCTGAAATTTTCATTTTTTTGAAAGTACAGCATGGTTTTTAGTCATGTATGTACCTGACACTATTTTTCTGTTTACTAAATTCTGGAACTTGGTCAAACTAAGTGCTCTGACCAGCTAGCTAAATGAGTCAACGACTCAATGCCCCCACACCATGCTTTCTCCTTAGTTCAGTAAAGTCAGGAGGAGGACAAAGCGCACTCACCTGATAAGCACGTCATCAGGCCCAGGGCGAGCATAGCCCCCGCCAGGACCGTCAGCCGGTTATAGCGCATTGCCATGATGGCCGCTATAAAAAAGGTCTTATCGCCCAGTTCAGATACAATGATAACTGATATGGCAGCGACAAATGCATGGATAAATCCCAAATTTGTTTGGGTAGCTGGATCTTCTTTATTGCTATGAACCGGGGCAGCTGGTGTAAATCCTTTCTGAAATTAAAAAAACATATATTATGTATCAGCTGTTTTTTGGAAAAAAATCATTACTTAAAATTCTTTTATTTTTGGATATGAATTAAAGTTTTTCTGTCATGGTCATTGACTCACTGTCTAAGGACTTTGAAAGCCATTTGTAATGACCAAAACCTCTAATTTATGGATGCTACAATGCAGATCCAAGTATAATTCTACAAAATAATTTTTTTAAAAAAGAACAGAGACCAGCTATAGCCACATAGTAAAACTACCTTATTTTCTAAGATTTGTGATTTGAGATTTAGTTCTTAGCTACATCTCGAATTCTTACTTGTACCTTGAGTGGAAGAGCCAGACATGCTTACCAAACATTCAAGTAACAGAAAGCCAAGAGAAGTTCCTTTAAGATTTTATAGGACAAAATAGGATCCAGAAAGTTCTCAAAAGGCTAGAGCAAGAAATGGCTGTAGCTGAGATTTAATATAGCTGGATATAAAAAGATATAAAGAATTTATTCAACACCAAAAAACCCCCAATAATCTGATTAAAAATGGACAGAGGACCTGAACAGATATTTGTCCAAAGACATCCAGATGGCCAACAGCCACATGGTATATGATGCTCCACATCTCTCCTCATCAGGGAAATGCAAATCAAAACCATAATGAGTTTACACATTAAACCTGTCAGAATGGCTAGAATCAAAAAGCTAAGAAACAACAGGTGTTGGTGAGGATGTGGAGAAAAGGAACCCTCGTGCACCTGGTGGGAATGCAAACCGATGCAACCACTGTGGAAAACAGTACAAGGGCTCCTCAAAAACTTAAAAATAGAGCTACCCTATGACCCAGTACAGGGCATTTACCCAAAGAAAACAAAACCCCTAATTTGAAAAGATCTAGGCACTCCAATGTTTATTGCAGCATTATTTACAATAGCCAAATAGGGAAGCAAAGTAAAGTGTCCATCAACAGAAGGATGAATAAAGATGTGGTATTCTCTCCCCCTCTCTCTCTCTCTCTCTCTCTCTCTCTCTCTCACACACACACACACACACACACAGGAATATTACTCAGCCAAAAAAAAAATGAGATCCTGGAGCGCCTGGGTGGCTCAATCAGTTGAGCATCTGCCTTCGGCTCAGGTCATGATCCCGGGGTCCTGGGATTGAGCCCCACTTTGGGCTCCCCGCTCAGCGGATCCTGCTTCTCCCTCTGCCCTCCCCCCCCCCCGCTTTTGTGCTCTCTCTCTCAAATAAATACATGAAATCTTTAAAACATAATGAGATCTTGCCACGTGCAACAACATGGATGGACCTAGAGGGTATTATGCTAAGTGAAATCAGAGAAAAACAATTATATATGGTTTCACTTATACGTGGAATCTAAAAAACAAAGCAAATGCATAAACAAGCAAAACGCAGGAACAGACTCATAATTACAGAGAACTGATGGCTGCCAGCGGGAGGAAGGGCAAAATGGGGGGAGTGGAGTGCGGATACAGGCTTGCAGTTATGGAGTGAGTACGTCATGGGAATGAAAGGGACAGCAACGGTGCCGTGGTGGCCTTGTACGGTGACAGACAGTAGCCACACTTGTGAGGTAGCGAACACACAGCGCTGTCCCATCACCATGCTGTACACCCAAAACTCACGTAACACTGTGTGTCACCTACACTTCAATAAAAAAAATTAAAACTGTTAAAAAATACATACATATATAGATGGATATATGAATGGTCCTATGCTCAAGTCTAAAAATATCCTAGGCGGTGTCATGTGGCCTAATAAAAAAGACAAACCGAAGTCTTGGTTGGCATTAAGGTCATTTTAAGCTGAAGATGTGACCACGCTCAAACAAGCAAAACAGTAGTACGTTTAACAGTTAGTGACAAGTCCATTATTCTGTGCTGCTCAGCTCTTACCCAAAGTTCTGTACGGCTCCGGGGCACCACCGTGGAGAAGGCCCTCCCCCTGAAGATCATCCCAGGCGGAAGAGGCTCTAAGTCCAGGGGCTGGCAGGCTGCCGCGAGGCCACGACCAGCCTGTGTCAGCTAAGAATGCTGTTACATTTTGAAGGAGTTGCAAAAAATAAAGAGAGGGACAGAAGGGGGAGGGATGGAAGAAGGAAGGGAAAACTATGCAACAGAGACCTTAAAAACCTAAAATATTACCTGGCCCATTAAAAAAAAAAGTTTGCCGGGGCGCCTAGGGAGCTCAGTTGGTTAAGTGACTGCCTTCGGCTCAGGTCGTGATCCCGGAGTCTCTGGATCGAGCCCCGCATCGGGGTCCCTGCTCAGCGAGGAGCCTGCTTCTCCCTGTAACCCTCCCCACCCCCCATGTACTCTCTCTCTTTCTCTCTCTCTCTCATTCTCGCTCTCTCAAATAAATAAATCTTTAAAAAAAAAAAGTTTGCCAACTCAGGCTCTAAAACAATCAAATAAGGGACTAGGAAGGACCGTGTGCCTATGTTCCCATGACTGCGAAAGTTTGTCTGTGGGTCTGTATCTACGCTGTGCGAC